CCACAACTCGAGCTTTTAAAAATATTCAAAGTAACGTTTGTAACTCTTAAACATTATCGTCATTTAAACAGTATATCCCCTTATATTGAAAATGTAACGATTTTTTTACTATGGTAAAGAAAACTCCGGGTTTTACTCACATGTCTGAGGACCAATCGTAGCTCATAGCTCAAAGAAATTTTTATAAGAATATCTTATCTTCGTCTCTTTGTGTTTGTGAACAAAAGGAAGTTTTCGATTGTCCTCTATAAAAACATAGGACATAATTTTTGCGAGTGTGCGATCGAGCGCGTGCGTATTTTTGCATACTTTATGCGCCTCTTTTTATTCTGAATAAGAATCGGCCAAAAATGTAAGCTGGTGAAATTGGAGTCACGCTTGTGTTTATTGTTGGTTAAACAGTTATGAGACCAAATCTATATCATTTAAATTAAGAAAAAAATACGTCTATATTTGTTAAAATTCATATACACGAAACGAAAATGAACTTTTACCCTAATTGACTTCAAGTATTCTATTATATAACTTATAAATTGTCATAAGGAAATATTGCGATTTTATGACACAATATTATACAAAAAGAATATGAAACCGTTTGTTTTAATAGCACTTAAATCTCCAGATATACGAGAATTGTTCAATAAATCATGTGCAAATGTATTCTAATGCATTATTAAGCATTTGAGCAAACAAGCTTATTTTAGTAAAAGCCCCTGTGACCTTGGCCTTTGACACAGTCACATAAACCTCAAAAGGGGTCATCTACTACAAAAAAACAACCTCAATACCAAATATGAAGACTGTTGACCAAAGCGTATTTAAGCAATTGAGCGGAAAAGCTTTCTGAACTAAGGCGCCTGTGATCTTGACCTTTGACCCAGTGACTTCAAAATCAATCGAGGTCACCTAATGGTCATGATCAATCTCCATGCCAAATATGAAGACTGTGGGTCAAAGGATTCTTAATTTATTTGGCGGACAAGCTTTTTTAGTCAATGCCCCTAAGACCTTGACCTTTGACCTGTTGACCTCAAAATCAATAGGGATTATCTACTAATCATGACCAATCTCTATACCAAATATGAAGAATGTTGGTCAAAGGAATCTAAGTTATTGGACGGAAAAGCTTTTTTTAGTCAATGCCCCTGGGACATTGACCAGAAAACCTCAAAATGTATAGAGGTCAACTAATAATCATGACAAACCTTCATGCCAAATATGAAGACTGTGGGTCAAGGGATTCTTAATTTATTGCGCGGACAAGCTTTTTTAGTCAAGGCCCCTGTGACCTTGACCTTTAACCTGGTGACCTAAAAATCAATAGAGGTCATTTTCTAACCATGACCAATCTAAATACCAAATATGAGGGTCAAAGGAATCTTAAGTTAATGGGCAGAAAAGGAAAAACTGACATACGCCCGGACGGCCAGGCTTATTACAGTATACCCCCTTACAACGTTGTAAAATAATTCATGAGTTCAGCAATACTTGGGTTTAAAAAAATCATGTGGATAAAGTTAAATAATTTCTACAATAAATGAACAAGTAGTTTGGTTTTCAACTTTTCATGCTCATTTATTGAACATAAAGGTGTTGTATACTTAAAAAAATTATTACCACCTCCCCAATCTCTTGAAATATGGGCATATATAAAAGTTGTGATTTTTCAAGTACGTCCGAAAGATATTTACTTGGAATTGTGTGACATTAATGGACTTTCTTATGAATTATTTTAAACAGCACCACATTTGTTTTATATCAGCAATTGTAAGGTGTTCAAGAGCACATTAAAAGACACCGTGCCAAGACATATCTTTCTGTGTTTTATAGGCCAAGAACGTTCTGAATAATTTCCTTCGTACACTAATGTGAAATATTCAAACTTTATCACAGGGGACTAATCGGAGAATGCTATGCCACGTAGGACAATTACCTCATCATTTGGGATGCAACTCCACCAAATATCCGAAAGTGACGTTAATAAAACTTTTACACAATATAAACTTGTGTGTTTACTTTTACATGCAACATACATGTATCTTTAGTGATTTCTTTGCCATGCAGTCAATGTCTGCCCTGACATTGTTGTGCATGGAACATGATCCTAACCTCCCATTTGGCTCAACATAAAAACAGTCCAGAGAACTTGATTAAAAATAAAACTGAATTTTTTTAAATGAGATCAAGCCATTAACAAGGTCAGAGAGTGCTGGCATTGGTAATGTGAGAGTCCAATAAATTATGATATTGCAGAATAATGCCGATTCATATTCTATACAAAGCTTGAATAAATAAGGCCAAGCAAATTTGCAGCATATTGACTGACAAATCAATAAAGTATAAATGATAAGCTTCACATCAAATTCAAAACAAATTTAAGATTACTGTGACCTTGACCTTTGACCTGCTAAATCTTAAAACAATAATGTTTTACTTCAGATTATAGGCAATGGTTCTATGATGACTTTTGAAAGTTATGATACTTTCCTTAATTGGAAATTGCGGATGGAAAGACATATATGGATATGCAGACTGACAAAGAAAACAAATCACATGTGTCTACCACAAAATAAACAAAGATTCATGTAGTTTTGATACACTGTGTTCCAGTTATTGATTTGGGCATGTCTGAAATGTATCAGTGAAATATGCAACACAAATGTAAGTATTCTTAATTTATTTAATCATGAAATATAAATGTTCTAATCATAAATGAGAGTAAACTCAACTGTAAAATAAAAAAAACATACATGACTAGTAAAATGTTTTAAAATATAACATTACAACAAACAGTGATGTGGCTACAGTGTTTTGGATTTCTTGTAGAATTTTCACAAAAAAAAAAGGTTACTGGTTATCATAAAAGTAAGGAGAGAAAAATCTACTTATCAAATTATATTTGCCTCAAATTGTGCAAATCTTTTAAAACCTCTTAACTCACTTATCTATGACTTTTGTATAATTATTGGTGAGCTTCTGGTAGTTCTTTTGGATTTGGGTAATTTGCATAACTATAATGGTAAAAAAGATGGCACTTTTAAAACTATTTTGTGACAATGAGGGAAAAAAGAAAACAAAAATACTTATTCTGCAATTACAAAACTATAAAAATCTTGAAAACAAAATTCAATGTTTAAACACCATTAAAATATTGGTTAGTAATAGTTTTCACTGATTTGTTTTAACTAAATTATATTAAGAGTTGTATGCTAGTTCATGTAACTCTCTCCTGGGACATAATATATAATACTAAAAATAGAATTACATGTATATTATATCCCTGGGTCGCCAGTTAGCCCCTTAGATTAACCACTTCTGAGTCCAATGTTATAAAGAAATTCTCTCAGCTCAAACTCAAATCTCAAGAATATGATTGGTCAGTTACTGTCACAGAATCGGCACTGACCAATGAAAATCCAGAGTTTGAGACAAAACTTGGAAAAAGTTTTATAACCTCCAAATTGAGATCAAATGAGATCTATATTAAATTGAGCCAAGAACATAGAGGAGATTTGTTTATTTAACCCTTTACCTCATATATACGCGAAACAACGCACTTTCGACCCCCCCCCCTTTTTTAGGCCTGAAATAGTGAAAAAATGTCCTATTTGGGCCCCAAACACTTGTTTTCAGTTGAGAAATGTTGCCAAAAAAAGTGAGCACTTTTTCAGCGCCGCCCCCCATCCAAAAGATACATCAGGGGGTTGCTAGAAGGGGGTTGTGCCCCCTTCTGTTTGGGGGGTTTGAAGGGGGGCAGCGTCTCATCGCCAAGAAAATTTTGGACTTGTGAGAGGCTTAAAATGACCCCAGGTCGATCATAAGGTAACGTGTAACCAACGCTGAAAAGCCTTTGACTCTATCTTAATCCCTTGAGAAGTTGCAGCACTTTGAAATAACTTTTGATGAAAAAAATCGAGGCAAAATAGTGATTTTTGGCAATTTTGAGATGTCCCCTCGTTGCCATGGTAACAGGAAATTTAAGACTGAGCATGTCGTAACAAAGGCAATGGTCCAGTCAACATTTGTGCCAAGTTTGATTAGTATTGCAGCATTTTTCATAGTTTCATAGCAGTTTGAACTTGTAAGAGGAGGCTTTTCAGTGAAAATGGCCATTTTTCACAATATGCTCATGGGGGAAAGGGTTAAGAGAATATAGAACGTTTTAATGCATGAGAGAATTTTTAAAAGAAAATATAAAAGACATCACATGTTAAATCAAAATAGACAAATTCACTAAATTATCATAGCATTCTAAAACTTGGTATAAAACTACTATACATACATTGTCAGATATGTCACCAAACAAATCTAATTTAATTCTGACATCATGAACATAGTTTTAGACTGTACTTTCTACAGTGCTACAGCTATCATATGTAAAACAGAGTATTTAACTTGATTTCAAATAATTTGATATCTAACTGGTGTATTTTAGTATCTCATTGTATAAAAAAGCTGATGATAAATTAGTTTATCTATGTTCTTGGCTCAGGACAAAGAGTCCCATGGCCCAGGACAAAAAGCCCCATGGCTCAGGACAAAAAGCCCCATGGCTCAGGACAAAAAGCCCCATGGCTCAGGACAAAATCCTCATTTCCATAGCCTAATAGGCAATGACTCCCAGCTCTGTCATCTAAAGGGGCATAACTCTATACAACTTAGCTTTTTCAAAACTGTACTATTATTCAAAACTAAAGGCAAGACAAATCTCACATATTAAATACTGAAACACTATTGGTTAGATCTACTGTACAAAAACAAAAAAAACCATATTTTCTGAAGCATAACAATTTTTATATAGATATACTTTTACATAGCTTAAGCCTATAAATTACAAAACAGAATTATAAGATTAGATTCAACTTCTGTATTAACTCAACCCTTAACCTGCTGATTTTGTGTAATAAATTTGGTCGGGTTTTGGGATTTAGAACAGTAAAAGATTTCCATAATGCAAGGATGGCCTGGCTGGCAGGCCTGACTCTATACTGGTAGCAAAGGTTAATAAATTATCTCCCTTTATTGTTAATAAATTATCTCCTTTTATTCCAGCAGACTGCGGGCTAAGATGCAGGTACATCTACACGAACTAGAAATATGTTATTTCTCACAGATACTTCAGGGTTGCCGATCTTGATAACCTGGCTGCAAAACCATTTTTAATCCTATTCAAATATACTTAATACTAAATAGACATCATTTTGACACAAAATTTTGTGATAAATTTATCTAAGAGCACATCCAATATACAGACTAACTGCACATTTCTTAATATACATTAATTTTATATCTGAGACAGTAATTCTACATGGTGCAATGCTGAGCAGAACATAAAATGATAGGATCATAGTGAAATGTATATTTTATCAATTATTATTATTTCTGACCATAATTTAATAATGGCACAATTGAAGTATCCTATTCTAGCTGTTTCTACATTTATTGAAAATATAATCTGTTCTTTGAAATTTACTTAAATGTATGTCCATTACAACTGTAAAATAACATACATAAACATTATGTAAGTTTGCCGAACTGATTGTGGATGGAGAAATGAACCTATTACATAGAAAACAAAAAAACGTATATCTCTAACAATAAATGTCAAACAATTTGAACATTATTCTTTACATAATACAAGAGATATCAATCAATAAAAGCTTTAAAGTGGAATGTTATAAAAAATAAAATAAACTTATATAAAAGCACATATATATATATATATGAAAGAATTACACAATATCAAAGTTAAAACGGTGAAAAATACACAAGCATGACAATTAAGATTAGAGCATTACACGTTATTTGGTATAAAGCATATTTTTATAGTACACATACATGTATATATATATATGTCATATTGCACATTAGTCAGAATAAGGACATTATTATAAAATTCCAGTCCATTTAGTCACCTATATAAAACAATTACTTGTACACAGATTTTTAAAGCCGCACGTCTCCAGATTCATGCTAATTTTATTATTAAACTTTTGAAAATGTATTAAAAAGTATAACATTTCTAAGTGAACAAAGAAAGTAATTTACACATTGCTAATGACACTTAAATCCCTGTAAATTACCAAGTAAATGTCAAAATATGGGAAAAAAGTCCTTACAGTGTCAAACACACAGTAGAAATATGATGATAAATTCAGCAAAATCAATCATTCATTGCATGTAACATGTAGCTTGTCAACTGAATTAGTAAATATTTTTACTTTTCTAAAAATCTTAGTACATTTTAAAGTTGATTTTTTAAAAAATCTTTTCCAGTTCATATGGAGGCATGCAACTTTAACTGATCTTATTGACATGGTATATTGTAATGATAGAAAGTCAGAGCATGAAAACATGACTGTCTCCTTTTTGTACAAGAAAATCTTATTTTTTTTTTAGAAAATTAATTAACACAAAAATAAACATCTTTCCACAAAACTATTACTTATGTACCCCTTGAAAACTTCATTTCAGTTTTAGACATTTCTTTTATTTCCATGTTCATTTTTTCTGGTATATTTTCAACTTAGCAAAAGTATAAATCATATTATTAAATTATGCTTTCAACATCATTATTCACCATATTTCAGGGTCCCTTATGATCATGTACAGTTGTATACAAATAAAGGACAGTATATTGTAACAGCACTTATAAAATATATAAACATTTTCTCAGATGAATATAATTTCAGCATACCACAATACCAGTTACTGACAAAACTGAATCATTCAGACCATCTTTTGTTCTGTATATATTGTTAGTTTTCCTTTCATTCAAATATATGTGTCATCTCCTTCATGTATAAGCATTGTAAAATGAGCCGTGTCATGACAAAACCAACATAGTGGGTTTGCGACCAGCATGGATCCAGACCAGCCTGCGCATCCACGCAGTCTGATCAGGATTCATGCTGTTCGCTAGCAGTTTCTTTACTTGTTATAGGGTCTGTAAGTGAACAGCATGGATCCTGATCAGACTGCGTGGATGCGCAGGCTGGTCTGGATCCATGCTGGTCGCAAACCCATTATGTTGGTTTTGTCGTGACACGGCTCATATTATATTGTTTGTTTTCCTTTCATTCAAATATATGTGTCATCTCCTTCATATATAAGCATTGTAAAATGTTTAATGCTTTGAACTGAATTGAATACAAAATGAGGAAGTACAAAATGAATAATTCATGCAAGAAAATTGAATATTTATTATGATTCTCAAAATTGTATTTCCTTTAATTCACCAGAGTCTCACTACTAATTAAGAATAATAAATAAGTTCCCTGTATTTTTTATCTTCCTTTTTCCCTTCCATTTATTTGTTTCCCCACCCACCCTATTTGTAATAGAAATTTGAACTTCCATTTGTATTTCACAATAACACATAACAATATTACAAGCTAGGAGAAAAACATATCAAGGGACTCAATCTACTGAGGATTAAGTGTTTAAAACAACACTTCTCCTTTCAGAAAAAAGTCTTGACAAGATTTTAACAAACCATCCAAAACATTTTATAAAAATCTGTCATCAAAAATGTTCATCAAATAAACACATTGTTTTATTGTGAATGACATCTGCTACATATATGTTAAACACTTTCAATGCTGTGAAAATTTTAGTTCTTAAGAAAAATTCAAATGAAAAATGGAGAAAAGTCTAAAGCAAATTACACTGAGCTTAACAAGCAATTTTGTATTACAAATGATGTACTGTCATATAACAACATAGTTATAAAATTTCAGCCAGTGATATTTTTATAATTAAATACAATATACTTTTATGACAGCAATATATAAATAGTCCATGCAATTTAAATTTACACATATCTTCAATTATACACAAAACAGAAATACTTGACGCAAATTTATTTTCATGAATAAACATTGAATTATAATGATACAATGTAGTTAATTTATTAGACAAATTGGTAACTGTTGGTTTCTAAGGTATATTTGTTGGTTTATATGGTATACTTTATTGTATTATATGGTATGTAATTTGATTCTTATGGTATATAATATTTGGTTTATATTGTATAAAATATTCATATGGTAGATCTATTAAGTTGGTTTATATGGTATGCCAGTTGGTTCATATGATATATTAGTTGATTCATATGGTATATTTCTTGAATTATATGGTATATAAATTAGTTCAGATGTCATTTGGTTTAAATGATTGGTGTATAAGCATATTAATTAGTTCATATGGTATACATTGTATTAGTAAGTTTATATGGTATATTAGTAAGTTTATATGGTAAGATTAAAACAGAAGCAACAGACACTTTGGATGATAAATAAATGATTAAAATGTAGAAAATGAAAATCATTTCAAACAAAACAAAACTTAACATTCAACAATAGACCTGATTCAAATGTCATACATATAAACATTAATACAATATAACTTCACACCCTAATTCACATTAATTATAGTGCATAACATTCATACCCTCTACTCATCATCAAAAGTAGAACCACTCAAAAACATAAATATCCAAATGTAGTTAATGAACATACAGCTGACCCTGTGTTAAAAAACTTCCTTGAAATTAAACCCTCCACTAGTCTTCTTAAACATCACATAAGTATTAGCCAGTAAATACAATTATGGTAGGTTGATCATAAAGACCATTATCTTTATATTTTTAAAAATCCCAAGCACCATGCTTGCTCTTTTAAAGACACATTTTAAATTGATTGTTGATCTTTAAAAGACTATTGAATAATGGCTGATCTTTAAAAGACACACTACTGAATAATGGTTAATCTTTAAAAGACACACTATTATACATTCAACAATGGTTTATCTTTTAAAGAAACACTATTGAATAATGTTTGATTATTAAAAGACACATTATTGAACATTCAACAATGGCTGATCTTAAAAGACACATTATTGAACTTTCAACAATGGCTGATCTTAAAAGATAACCTATTGAACTTTCAACAATGGCTGATCCTTAAAAGACACACTATTGAACAATGGTTGGTCTATAAAAGACACACTATTAAACATGGTTTGTCTTTAAAAGACAAACACTATTGAACAATGATTGAGCTTTAAAAGACATATTACTAAATAATGGTTAGTCTTTAAAAGACACATTCTACTATTAATGATTGGTCTTTAAAAGACAAACCAGATTGTGAATACTACCAACTTATTACATTTTGACATAATTTGTTCAACGAAAACTTAAAGATGTTTTAATAAATTAGGAACTGACCAAATGAAAGTAAAACAGGCTGTTTATATCATTTTTAAATACGATTCCGAAGTAACATGAAAATGATTGGGTCTTTTTTTATTATTAGCTTTGAAACAAATAATCCATTTGATTTTTTTCAATACTTCTCCAACTGTTTGGATAATTTTCAACACTATGTTAATGATTTTATAGTCTATATAACAATCTGATAGCATGATTAATCTTTAGGATCAATATGCTGTAAATCTCAATTTTTATACTGCCATCCGACCTCAACTTTAATACCAACATCTGACCTCAACTTTCATATCAACATCTGACCTTCATATCAACATCTGACCTCAACTTTCATATCAACATCTGACCTTCATATCAACATCTGACCTCAACTTTCATATTAACATCTGACCTCAACTTTCATATCAACATCTGACCTCAACTTTCATATCAACATCTGACCTCAACTTATCATGTCATTTCACCTTAATTTACAGTTCCATCTGACCTTTCATACTTCCATATGACCTCAACTTTCATTTGACAAGATACATAATCAACAACAAAAACATCAATAAAACAACTCTACAAGCACAGTGGAATTCAACAGTAATGTTTGTCTATAAATAGAAAATGGTTGTCATGGAAATGGTTGTCTCTATGGAAATAATGACATTTTGGTCATGTTAATTGCACATTATATTTTTGCGTGTTTTATCAATCTTCACCATTGACTAAATCCAGGAATGCTGCATAATTTTGCTTTCAAAAAGCACATATAAATATTCACTTCACTTCCGTCTAAATATAGCTTCCTTTAAAATGTTAAAAACACATATACACAGAGCAAATCCCTCTTTGAAGACTTTTAATATATTTATTATATACACAACAAAGCCAGCTAAAAGTACACTGTAGCAAACGACAATGGAATAGAAATTCACATAGTACTTATTACCACTCTCCACTCTCCGTAACCATGGAATCCTTACATTTACTTTCAATCCTTTGGAAGCTGTAAGTAAATATATTCCATATACACTTATTAAAGGCCTTACTACGTATACATCCCTACACTGAACATCAGCAGTCTTCAAATGAGAAAAGAAAAAAACACATGTGAACTGATAACTTCATCCAAGCATTTTTGTTGCTATGCAACACGTGACCTACTTCTGTGTATCTATGTTTATGTCTGCAACATTCCTGATTTTCATTGTCAGACGAAAGTTGACATGGCTGACTGCTGGTTCCCCTTCTCATCTGGTTTTTGGGAACCATACTGACCTAAAATCAAGATAATCTGTTTCAATATATGCCTAACTTACAAATTATAACATGAAAGTAAGCTAACAGCATCAAATCTCATATCATTATTTTCATTTTGTTACGTTTTAAATCAAACAATCACTGTTTACAGAATTTGGCAACTTTTCAGCTTTACTAGCAGAGGAAGAAAACAGGTGCCCCACATCTGCCCCTCATTGCATTATTTCTGGTGCAGGCAGGCACCAATGTAGAGCCAAGATTTTTCATGATTAAGCTGGATAGGTTCCTGACAGTGCAAAATCCAGATTACTGACAGGATTCCAACTGACATTACTGCATCACTGATTTGATGTCACTACCAATAAGTTCATACATTTTCATTAGGAATATCAATTACATTTAATTTCAACTGTTTTTTAACAAGGTTAATAGTAAAATACAACTTCCACAACTTATCTTGAAAACATTATCTTGATTGATTTAATGAGTTTAATAGGTATGAAACCACTAATGAAGACACTGTCACCACCCTTATCTCATTTGCCAGTCATCCGCTTATTAAAAGTTATCTTTACCTATAAAAGATCCATCTTCATTGAATTTACTCGGGTCAACGTCTCCATATTCTGCCATGCTATCTGTCTCACTTCCTCCGAGGACTTTGTGGTCATCATTGTCGAAGGAATCAGGACTTCCAGCAGCTAGTGGGTCAGTCTCGCCACTTTAAAATGAATAAAAATCTAAGTTAAACCCATAACCTCCTGATTTTATTAAATGGACTTGACCAACTTCCATTTCTACATTAAGAACTGTCCATTTTCATTTTTTTTTTTTATATCAAGGTGAAAGTTATAGTTGTTTTTGTTTTGTTTGGTTTAACGTCACACAGTATACATGTTGGTCATAGGTCAGGGATAACTTCCTCACATAACAGACCAAAGTCCCTGTCAGGATTCAAACCCACAGTGATGAATGGCAAGTGGTTTGAAGTCAACAACTTTAACCACTTGGCCAGGATGCCCCTTGAAAGTTAAATAGCTAGTCAGTCAACAGTATAGATCATAGTTAAGACTGCAAGGAAATACAGGCAATATCCTGGTTGCAAAGGCAGACAACTTTCGGATTCAGCCAGATAATGGTTAACGGGAAAGTGCATCAAAAAGTGATTCTTCTGCTTTTTTAAAAATTTACTTATTATTTCATTAATTGAATTATTTTTTTGAAACCCCTTAGATTTTGAACGAGCTGTAAATATTCAAAGAAAGGCAAATCAAGAAAACAAATTTAGTTGGTTAAGGGTTAATGACATCACTGATTTTAATGTACGTATAACAAAGGAATATCTAACTTTTAAATTACACTAAAAACAAGCACCATCATGTAATATATTGAATTCAATCAATATAATATATGTTACTCACCTTTTGGGATATTCATTAAACAAATCTTTCTCTGGGTTTTCTATGTCATTTCCTCGAAGCTTCTCACGCTCTTGTACTGTAAAAACAATTGAGTCGCGTCACGACAAAACCAACATAGTGCGATTGCGACCAGCATGGATCCAGACCAGCCTGCACATCCGCGCAGTCTGATCAGGATCCATGCTATTCGCTATCAGATTCTCTACTTGTTATATGGTTTGTAAGTGAACAGCATGGATCCTGATCAGATGCGCAGGCTGGTCTGGATCCATGCTGGTCGCAAACCCATTAAGTTGGTTTTGTCATGGCATGGCTCCAATGTTATTCCCATACATTTAAATTTCATCTCCATACATTCCAATGTTATTTAGAATTCTATATATTCATATGTAAATTCCATACATTTAAATGTAATTTCCATACACTTCAATATTATTTCTACATTTTTCAATGTAATTTCTACATTTTTAAAAATATTTTGCAGTATCTTTTCAACTGCATCTTTTAAATATGCTCCATAGTTAAGTCTTTTACAACATAGTTAACTCTTTTACAAGTCTCAACATCATTTTATTTATTTATCTACATGTAGTTAATTTAGAAAATTGTCTTTTTTTAAACTTCTTTCTTAAACTTTATAAGCATGCTTTTCTTCCCTTCAGTGTTTTTGAAACATAAGGACTCATTTAATATTTGCTTGTGTATTGGTAAGCTGTTCTTCCCTTCTGTGTTTTTGAAACATTAGGACTCATTTATCTTTTGCTTGTGCTACATAGATGTTCAAATAAGCTACAATCCTTTATTGAGCTTAAATTAAGTTTTAAAATATATTCAACCATAGACAAACTTAACAAATATCCTACAACCATTTACCAGTACTTACCGTTATATTTTTCTCCCCTACTTCTCTTTATGAAACAGACTATAATCAGTTTCAGAATGAGAACTGACTTACTCCGGAATTAAGAATATTTTGGATTTTTCTCAGCTAATCTGAAAACAACAAACTTTTATAAGTGCAACAGGTTGACTTATCTATTGTGAAGGGTAGTGCACCTTGAAGCTGTAATGGTAAAAGTTTGTTTGTACCTATGAATTAACTGAGAAAAACCCACATTTGGCAAGTTCTGGATAACATCACTTGTTACCAGTACTTACCGTTATATTTTTCTCCCCTGCTTCTCTTTATGAAACAGACAATAATTAGTACTTACCGTTATATTTTTCTCCCCTGCTTCTCTTTATGAAACAGACTATAATCAGTACTTACCGTTATATTTTTCTCCCCTGCTTCTCTTTATGAAACATACTATAATCAGTACTCACCGCTATATTTTTCTCCCCTGCTTCTCTTTATGAAACAGACTATAATCAGTACTTACCCTTATATTTCTCTCCCCTGCTTCTCTTTATGAAACATACTATAATCAGAACTCACCGCTATATTTTTCTCCCCTGCTTCTCTTTATGAAACAGACTATAATCAGTACTTACCTTTATATTTTTCTCCCCTGCTTCTCTTTATGAAACAGACTATAATCAGTACTTACCGTTATATTTTTCTCCCCTGCTTCTCTTTATGAAACAGACTATAATCAGTACTTACCGTTATATTTTTCTCCCCTGCTTCTCTTTATGAAACAGACTATAATCAGTACTTACCGTTATATTTTTCTCCCCTACTTCTCTTTATGAAACAGACTATAATCAGTATCAGGATGAGAACTGCTATTAGGATCATCATGATTATAAACCATGGTGCCTGTGCTATATTTGTCTCTGACTTTACAGATGGACTTGCTATAAAAATCAAAAGTGGGAAATTAGTGTACATGAAAATATCTTATTTCTATGTTATTTACTAACGTTTCAATGTACTTTCTGCAAATTTTAATGTAATTTCTATAGTTTTCAATGTTATTTCTATAATTACCAATGTATTTCATGTAATATTTACACTTTTCGATGTAATTTCAGCACTTGCCAGAGTAACTTCTACACTTTTCAATGTAATTTCCATACATTTCAAAGTAATTTCTATACTTTAAAATCTAACTTTAATAAATATCAATGTAATTTCCATACTTTTCAATATAATTTCTGTACTTTTTAACAGCATCTTATGCACCACTGTTCATCCTAAGTGTGACTTAAATTTAGAGTATGCAAGAACTTTCCATGGAAACAATGTAAGAACGGAAATTCCTAAAACTTAGAATGAATTTTTCAAAATTCAAGGCTGAGCAAATGCATTACACAAATTCATTTGATAAAAGGTAAAGATATCCTATAGAGTAAGATCTTACGTTCTCCTTTAGTTTTGATGACCTTGGAGTCACTGGCCTCTTCGTCGCCTTTACTGTTGGCCCCGACAACCCAGAACTCGTAATTTCTGTTCGGCTCTAGGTTGGATACATTCATCCAATTGTTCATAGTCTCATTACTGCTTTTAATGACTGTATTCTTTCCTGTAAATACAAGGTATGTAACTCAATTTGGAAACTTTATAAGAAGATTTCTCTCCCTTTGATTATAAAAATTTTATGACAAAACAGATAGTAAATGACACTTTTATGGTATCACTGGCGACATTTCTTCAGTTTGATTTTATTGAAATATTTTGACTCATCATGTGGCATGAAGCTTTAACTGTTTCTTTATATCTGTCAAAAATGGTATGATCAAGTTGGTCAATGCAGACAACAACTTTTCTTATATCTGACAAAATGACCCAGATGGTCAATGTAGACTTCACTTTAACTTTTGTTTTTAAATTTGACCCAAATTTAGTGACAAGATGGCCAAATGATACGGAAACTCATTGACAAAATTTCTATTACCCATCTGTAAAAGTATTGTAAGGTTATTAAGAAAATCTACAAAAAACTTCTCTTATATCCGACAAAATTGTATAATCCAGTAAGTCAATGCAGACGACATTTTATTTTTTGTCTATATCTGATAAAGAATGGTATGCTGCCTATTGGCCAATGAAGACAATGACTGAAGTTTTCTGTTACACCTTACAAAATGGTATGATCCAACTGAAAGGTCCAGGTTAGCAGACGACAACCTACCTACTTCCTTATATCTGACAAAATGGTATGACCCAGCCGGGGAATTCTGATCATTGTTGAGAGTCCAGGTTACATTTACAAAATCCTCGCCTATCAGAACTATCTCCATTTGAGGTTTGATCATTTCTGTAAGTAAACAATGAAAAATCTGGTTGAGCCTTGTTTTATTTTGTCGTGATTCAATCAATTCATGAATGTCCAAATCACAACTAACCAATATAACAATTATATCAAATATCACATTCTGCCCTTTTTTGCATAAACAATTTCAGTTATTCATTTTTTAAATGTTTGCAAGCACATTTGAAGTCAAATCAAGAATGTAAGCATACATGTGAACACTCCCACTTTGAGCGGGAGGCTCCCACTTCCTGCAGCCATATTTTCCAAGATTATTCTTAAAATAAGGGGTATTTTCACAAATTAAAGAAATCTCATCTTTTTGATGTCAGAACTTCCTTCTTTGTTTATTGTGAATTCTAAAATCTCACCCTTTTTGAAGGAAAATCTCCCACTTGATCATCAAAAAAAGTTCAAATGTATGTGTAAGGGTCATAACTATGACAACTTTTTCACAATACTGGTGAGAAAAAATACCTCTAGTGCACTTTAATGCATTATTTCAGGCAAAAACAGGTATCTGATAAAAGCACTAAGCTAACTGTATAACTTCATCACATGAAAGAATCTTTTGACAATTCTGGCCACATTTACATTTAAACCAACACCATTTAATGTGAACGTCTTCAAACTCACAGCATTTAATGACAAATGATTTAGTTTATACAAAATAACTGTGGTTTGATTGTGTAGGAAGCTATAAGCTTTTAGACACACTCTCTAATCTGTTCCTGGAAGGAACCAGTACAAAGTCATGAGTGTATAGTTTATTTTTCATGGAAACAAACAATAGCTTTCACCTGACAGGGTTTGAACCCATTTGGCCAGATCGCAGCAGTCTATAGATTACTAGTCTCATGTGTTGCTATGCTGCCAAATAAAATTAATGGAAGTCACCAACCTGTTATAGACTACCAGTATATCATGACACTTACTATTATTATTTGCTGTTTTTGCATCCAGATAGAAGCCCTCTCCTCGTCCAGCTTTAGTTTTTGCCCAAATATAGATCATGTATTCCTGGTTCATATCCAGATTGTTGACAATTGCCATCTGTCTGTATGGATTGTCGTATTCCTTTGTTGTCACTATCTCACCAATATCAAATCCATTTACTGTAAAAAAGATACATTTGAGCCGCGTCACGACACAACCAACATAGTGCATCCGCGCAGTCTGATCAGGATCCATGCTGTTCGCTTACAAACCCTATAACAAGTAGTGAAACTGATAGCCAACAGCATGGATCCTGATCAAACTGCGCGGATGCGCAGGCTGTTCTGGATCCATGCTGGTCGCAAATGCATTATGTTGGTTTTGTCATGGTGCAGCTCATTTTATATCTTAAAGTTAGCCTGCTGAAACCAACCTAAAGTGATAAGTGTTCACCACCAGTATAGAGTCTGGTCAAACTGCATAAATGTACAACCTGATGAATCCGTGCAGTCTGACGATGGCTTGGTACTGTTGCCTGACTAATTTTAAATTTTTCATCCCCAAAATTAGCAATTCACAGATCCAAAAGTGGAAGTTGGACAAGTATGTATTAGAAATTCAGAAGGTTAAAGGTCAATCTTATTATTATTACTTGTAGAAAATTATATTTGTCATTTTCTAATGCTCCAATTCCACGGAGGAATGCATTTAGATTTGCCCTTCCTCATGGGTGTGTGTTATGTAGTACAAACACTGAAAAGGTCATATGGCAACTTTCTGGCCTTCTGTTATAGAAAGAAACAAATGTCCTGCTGTGCATTATTTCAGGCACAAACAGGCACCTGAGTAAGTAGACCCACAGACATTCCAAGTGGTTTTAAGTCAATAACCTGAACCACTTAGCTATTGATGCCCATTTAAGTAAACATCAGAAATATACCAAACCTACCCTTGTACATACGTATGAGATGAGGTATCATATACCTTTAAATCAAGACATTCTATATTACTTCTCTAAGTTTTTTTTTGCTTTTATATTGGACCTGTAACACTTTAATAAAGCCCTGGAAACTTACATCCCTTTGACGCCACAATTAAGACATCAAAATACCTTTTCTATATCCTATCTCGTATCCAATTAATATCCCATTAGGCTCCTCAGGAGGCTCCCAGCTAATTGTTATAAACTCTGTTCCTCGTCTATAAACTTTTGCAGATTTTACTCTACCAGGAACTGTAAAAAAACAGAATACAGAATTTAGATATTTTAATGCCATTAACCCTTACCATACTAAATATCATGAACAAGTCCATTCATCAGTTTTAGGAAAAATTTCAAAATATGTATTGACTGAATAATGAACATCGCAGTCCATGATCAGACAGCACAGATTTGCTGACTGATAAAGGTCTGCATTGGAAGCATAGGTAAAATTTGTTGCATCAACAGGCTAAAGATTAAAATCATGGATCATGTAAATTTAGAGGCATTATCAACATGTCAATCTTATCATCAAAATAATTATATAAAAATTTTCAGTATCAAAGTTCATGACAGTAATCTTCACAATGTCTCTTTTTGTACTTGTTCTACATGTTAAAATGTTGACTTTTGTATGTTCTATAACATTAACAATTTTGTTATTAACTAATTTTTGAAATTTCAGTTCTATGTATGATTCAATGAAGTATTTATTCAATATTTTAGGAAATTTTCAAAGAATTCAATGGCGGGATTAATCTCAAACCATACAGTTTTAATCCAACTATGTTGAAACCATACAAACTCAGGTAGGAACTTACCTCCTTCAGGTGTACTAAAGCTGATGGTGTTACTAGCATTGGAGACAAAGTAAGTATTTGCTGCTACAACGTCAGCTTCAAGGTCAGAATATGGAGGTAAACCATCAATAGTAGCAGTATCTTTAACAACTCGCTTTTTAATTCTTGTTTCATCGGGTGGAGATCTCGGCACTTCGACTTTAATCAATGTAGTATTCTTTTCACCTGTTTTCCAGTAGCGAATCTGTTATAAATCAAAATAAAGAGGTGTTGTTCATAATATCATTATTATTATTATTATGTACTAATTTTTTGGATGAGGTGAAATAGTAGGAATCTTCAAGAAATTTAACTAGTTTGTGATATATAGAATGTATGGAGAAACCATTCAGTTCTTTTATCTGCTGAATGTCTTAGTTATATACATCAAACCAGAACTAAATTCATGTACCTGGTACCCTTTAAACCGACCACGTATCATTTCTGGTGCGGTGTCAACCGGGTCCCACTCAAATGTTGCTGACTTTGCTGATGCATTTCCCACAAGCCCAAAATTCCCTGGGGCCGTTAAAGGAGCTGAAACATCAATGAGTGAATATAAACAGGGTTTCAAGGAAAATCAATTCAAATAAAACAAAGCTATCTTAATTTGTTAAAACAACAATCAGAAACATTATCATTTTTAACTCATAAACTTGGGCATCTGTGGCTGAGTGGTTAAGGTCCTTGACTTCAAACCATGTGCCCCTTACTGCTGTTGGTTCAAATCCCGAACAAGAACTTTGGATTTTTTCATGTAAGGAAGCTATCCAGCTGGCTTACAGAATGTAGGTGATTCTACTCAGGTGCCGTTTGTGCCTGAAATAATGCACAGCAGGGCAACTGAGATCTTCCTCCACCAGTAAAGCCAGAAAGTCACCATATGGCCAAAACTGCACCCCCCCCCTCCACCCCCCAAAAAAAAACACAAAAAAAAACACGAACTGTGTAGACCTATAAAAACCAGTAAATAATGAAGAAAATAATACATTTTCTTCAAGATGTTATAAATCTTAGGTATCAATATTGGGTATAAATTTTAGTAAACTATATTGACATACTGCAAACAGACATATACCTTAATGCTACATGGGACCATTTCTTAAATCATTTTCTTTGACATCAATTGATTTTTTGTTCCATTCACTGTTAGATGGCCCTAAATTCTCCCTTATTCCGCTATGCAGACCAACAACTTCAGACAAAACAACTTAGCATAATAGTTATTTCTCTTTAGGAGTACAATGTATAAGAAGTCCAAAAAGTTGTTCAACATTCAGAATTTCCTCATAAAACCATACCTGCTTCTCCGGTGTAGCCAATATGGAGCACAGCTGGTTCAGAACATGACCCTTCTTCATTCTCAGCTTCAACAAATATTTCATACGGCTCATATACTGAGCCAATGTATATCTCCTTCTTGTTTTCCTCCCAGTCATAGATCTCTGTCTTATTTGTCTTTCCATCTTTCTTGATGAAAAGATTGTACCGGAATCCTGGACCATTGTGTTCAATCTCGGGCATTTTCTATGGAAATAAATCATGTAATGTAATAAATATATTAATATGTTGTATTTACAACACAGTAGTACATGTTGAACGTTTTTGCAATTTATATCAGGTATTTCTCATGTATTTATATACTTTAACTTTGATAGACAAAAGGTAGAGGAAAGAACAACACATTAAGTAAAATAGAAACAAATCTAGATTATTTCACAGATTATTCATGGAAAATTTAACATTCAAGTATTTTAATAATTGTAATAAAAAACACATCATCATGATTATGATGATAAGATAAACAAGATTTATTATTCTCTTACATCCCACTTGATAATAAGCCATCCAGTTCGGCTTCTGTCAGTATGGACGTTGGAAGGGTTTTTATCTGGGGTGTCGCTGTTTGTATAACACGCAGTCAAGGACCGTTCACTTGGCTTACTCTTACCTAACCTATTTTCTGCAATCACTCTGTGTTAAATAAAGAAAATATTAGAGTTTCATATTTTTCTTAACTCTTGTACAGTAAAACTTGTGCTTGATGACCAACAAGGAAAAAAAACACCATTATTATTATGAAAACTTGTCACTTTTGGCCTAGCATTCAATCTTGCCTTAAAGTTTGATAACTTGCCGCACAAAATAACATTTTTTTTTTTAAATCTGCCAATTAACAGAAACCTTTTTTCTACTTTCCTTTACAGGTATCTATAAACAGGTTTGACTGTATTCTATATCACATCGTGCTTACCTTTTCATTATTTGTTTAAATACAATGTGTTGTGAAATTCAATAAATCATAACAAAAGAACACTTTATGCTTAACATGTCATTTATTCCTTAAACATAAATTAGAATTCTGTTAAATTTCTCTAAACAAAATGACATACAGTAATAAAACAGTTGGTATCAAAGCATTCAATTCAATCTTAACTGGCAAAAAGATACAAAAAACATAAATACTAAAGAAATTCTTAAATCTATGACAGTTTCTAAACCATTCCTGTATGAAAGCTGCTGACTGCTTTAAATGCTCTTAGATTTAAAACCATTTTAGACCATCAAGTGTTACCTAAATGTATAGTTGGCATGTGGTGACAGATTGACCTTGACCTCTGTTATTGACGATACGTTCACTGTTTTTGCTCTGGTCCACTTATTTGGTGCATAGGAATGGTTGTATTCAACATGGTATTTGGTAATCGGAGAAAAGTTGTTGAAGCCCTTTTGCCATGACACGATCACACTGCGACTCAAACAAGAGCTTATGTCTACATTTATAGGAGGATCTGGGGGAGCTAAAATGTGAAACATTAACATCAGTTACAGTTATGTTAAACTAGCAGTCTTTTAAAAATTCAACAAAATTTCACGAAAATATTTCTACCTTTATACAATTACCATCAACTTTTTACAAAGGGAAAAAAAAAAACAAAAAAAAAAAAAAACTTTTTACATAGTATATTCAAGTTTTTTCTGTAAATACCGAATTTATTTTTGTAGAGTGGTATAAAAAGAAATATTTCACGAGTAGCAGTACCCATAATATGATATTTATCATATCACAAGATAAAAATAAATCCTGTATTTATAGAAAAAACTTGAATTTTCTGTTTATTATACATTTTTTTCTTTTTTGAGCATACCCTGTGAAAGAATTCTCTTTAATTTTGTGTACTGGCTTAATTTAGAAAAAAGTAGTCTAGCAAGACACCAGTGAAAATATGGAAAATATGATTTACTACAGTGAAAAATAAATTTTACAGTGAAAATATGGAAAATTAAATTATGAATTTTATTTCATCAATATTTCTCAATATTTCAGTCATAAGTATATAATAAAGCCTTTTATCCTAACTTATACATTGCATAGATTACTACTCCTTGGCATATTAACATATATTTGAAATGAATTTCATCTGACACTGACAATGTATACTAAGTTGGATGTTGCCTCATAATAAGTAATCACAGGTATTGGATTTTAAATAATACTACTAAAATAATAATAGTATTACCATCATAATAATATTCTACTAGAATAAATAATATCACCTATTTCCTTCAACACAATTGTAAAAGTATGTTTTTTTTATCATGAAAAAAAATAATAAAAAAATCCAAAAACATCCCAAAAAAGCCCCGTCCAAAAAAACACAGTTTATTGTATATACCTATAACTTCGAGTTTCGCAGAGGCTGTATCATTGTCAAGGCTATTACTAGCCATACACATGTATCTTCCTGTATCTTCACTAGTAACACCTTTAATTATAATACCATTCCCTTCCCTCTCTACCCTCGGATTCTTCTGGAAGTCGATAGGTTCCCCATCTTTAAGCCAAAGATAAACAAGATTATCTTGCTCGTTGGGGTCGGTGTCGGCTTGACATTTGAAATGAGAATCGGTACCATGCGTGATCTTCTGAGATGATGGGCCGCTCTCTATTACAGTTTTCCCTGAAGTAAACAGTGAAAATAAAATAAATCTCATAACTTATCTACCCTGAAATACATAATATAACACAAAATCTTCATTATATCATGATAAGATTTATTCATTTTAAACCTTTTACCACACTAAATATCTTAAATGGACTTGTCCATTCTTCAATCTGGACATAACCATTCATCATTATAAGGGAAAATTAAAAAAATGTACTTAATGAAGACCGAAACAGTGCAAAGTATGATCAACATCATAGATATGCCAGGTGATCTTAATCTGCACTTGTCACTTGGGTCTTCATATTTATTAAGGTCATCGAGTAAAGGGACTATACTTACTTCTGACAATTAACTCTCCTGATGCTTTAATCTTTCCATATCTGTTCTCAGCAAAACATGTCCATCTACCTGCCTCACTCATTGCTGCATTCTAACAAAACAATTTAATAAAGGGAAATCAATAAATTTACCAAAACAATTAAGGGAAAAATCAATTTGAAAAAATTAATAAAGTTCTTTAATCTATAAGCAAGGTGGAAAAGGGGGTATAACTATGTAAAAACATCAGTCCTTTGAAACATCAATCCTTAAAAGCCAAATTTCAACAAGACCTGTATCATACAATGTTACAACACTGTACTAAATATTATTATTATCCTTTGCCTCATCTCATTTCTAACGCTAGTTATCAACCATAAACATTTTCTATTTTTAGTAACCATGACCTTGCCCAAATACAATCCAAAGCAAGTTACAATACATCAAGCTTGGTGTATACATGTACTAAGTTTAGGGGTGTCCATGGCGAGTGGTTAAGGTCGTTGACTTCAAACCACTTCATAAGAGGTACATGTAGTTACCTTGACCCTAAAGGGTGCACAAACAATCCTAATGTTCTTCATATAAGCTTGCTATGTACCAAGTTTGATAGCAATAATTATACATAAATTGCTATTTCTTAACTTAAGTTATTGTCAGGAAACCATTTTTCTATTTTTCAGTAGCAGTTTTATTTTAAACAATAGAGATGAAAATTACCTTAATTATCATGTTGCCACTTGGCATTATTGTATAGTTGGGACCTTCCATCTTTTGATCTTTCCTCTTCCAGTATATTCTAGGGGTAGGTTTGCCATCTACCTCACATGGCAATGTAACAGATTTACCCTCTGACACTTTCACATCATTTTCAAATTTCTTCTTCAGTTCTGGTTTAAATGCTGCAAAAAAACAAACAAACATTATGCACAAATGTCATTAAACCATTCAAAATTATTTAAATATATATAGACATTTACTTTTCGGTTAAAGAGTTCTTTAAAGTGGATGGGTCTACAACTGGCACTTTTTCCATTAATATTTCAAATATTGATGAAAACAATAGATATGTATCATTTGGATATTCTTATAACATGTTGCTTGAAACAAAATATCGATAAAGTTCAAAGTATAAGGACATTTATCTGATGAATAATATTTTGTTCTAGAACATTTTATCTGCTATTCAAATATAGATAAAATCAGATCATGTATCCAACAATTTACATAATGTTTGTTGTTTATGTCTATTACTAAATACTATCAATGTAGTTATACATTGTATTACAAACCTTCCATATTTTTGTAAGTAGACCAATGCACTTTAATGAGCTTTCATTTCACTATCTTTATCAAATGTTTCAGAAGTCTGTCTCTAAATTATACACTTACCCATTATGCTTAGTGGTACATCGGCCCACAAGTGACCATGGATATTGGAAACGTTACATTGAATCACCTTTGCATCTTCTCTCGTCAAATTTTCAAACTTCAGTTGTCCTTTATTCCTCATCTCTGTAAAAGAAATCAACATTACAATAATGTTTGTTTGATTTTAACCATATTTTTTAACACAATTTTGGTCATATCTCAGCAGTCTGTCAACCTAACCGGCTTTTACTGGATAACTACCCAGTGATTAACAAATTCTCCCCAGTGACTGTAAGAGAGTGATTATTTATCCCACGTGATTTCTGAATTAGCAGTGAGAGACAAACGACCATTAGACTCATGTTAGCTAGTTTTGCAGTAGATTTCTGACCACTGTTGATATCCTGGGAATGACAGAGCAGACTGACAAAACATGGGGCCAATGTTGACTAATTTTTCATTGATTCTAAGCTGAACACTGTGATTCTATAACTCTCATCCTAACACTTAGCCCTATACTTTTATGGTAGTACCTTTTTTCATAAGTAACAGCTGTCCGTAAGACAGCAAATTCAACTATTCTCAGTGCTTGATAGTAACAAAAAGGGCATATCTGTAAAAGGTAACTCAGAGTTATAGGGCCTGTGCCCATCAAATTAGAAAATCACAGAGAACAAGTGTATGAAGTTTCAACCCATTCCCTTCAATACTTTAAGAGATACCAACATGCACGCAAAAACCAAATTGTGACGCTGGCGTTAAAGGGACTCCACTTAAGTCCAAAAGAATTTAAATGTAAAATTTGAATTTCTTATCTAGATGACACGGGACAATTAAAACAGAAAGATATGCAAAAGATAATTAAGATATATACTCAGAAATAAATGGTAAATCATATTTTTAAGTTTTTCTTGGTTCTATTTTAGTGAATAAGTATTGCAATGCTTTTCCTTTTTGGTCCTTTTTCACAATTACAATAATTAGAAAAACGAAATGAGTGATTGATCTGAAATTTTGCACACAAATTATTGGTCTAGACTTCATCAAATGGAATTCTAATCTTGGAAAATTATTTCCAGTCCTGTGATGTGAAAAACCTCAGTGGTGTCCCTTTAAGAAAATAATATGAGACACAAAACATCAAACACCTGAGGTCAGGTTTAACTCACTTTTATTCTGCTGTTTTGATGACAATCAATAAAAAATATTCCCGATTAGTCAAGAAACAAGAGCTGTCCGTAAGACAGCGCGCTCGACTTTTTTATTGCTTGCCAATAAAAAAAGTTTTTGCAGTAAAAGGCAATACAAGAATCTCTGTATTTTTAAAGTGAACTAGTTGTTTGATACCCTTGAATATTACAGCAATGTTTATATGACATAATTTATGGTAAAGTGAACAAGTGGATAGGAATGAATTTTTTTAGATTTTTTAAGTTTTTTAGTGCTTGCCTATAATACAAAACATTGACAGTTAAGGGCCATAATTCAAATAAAATCTTTGACAGAATTACCTTCTCCTGGACATGTTTGGGAATCATGATTGTAAACAAGTATTCCAACTTTCAAATTAATATCTCAAACAGTTCAGTCAAAAAGTGGACTGGTACTAAAAACTTAACCAAGATTCTAAGTCGATAAAAGGCCTTAATTTTTAAAAACAAATCCTTGACAGAGTTACCTTCTCTTGCGTACAGATGGGGGTAATGATGTGAAATAGCATTAAAAGTTTCAAAGCAATATCTCAAAGGGTTAAGGCAATAAGTGGATTTTACCCATATTCAATGTATTTTCTAAGTCAAAAAGGGGCATAATTCTGTCAAAAACCTTGACAGAGTTATGTCCTCTTGTCTGTTGATGAAGGTCGTGATGGTAAACAAGTATGGTCAGTTTCAAAGCAATACCTCCAATGGTTTTGAAATAAAGTGAGGTGGTACAAAAAACTTAACCAAGCTCAATACACTTTCTAAGTCAAAAAAGGGCCATAATTCTGTCAAAAACCTTGACAGAGTTATGTACTCTTGTCTGTAGATGGAGGTTATGATGGTGAACAAGTATGGTAAGTTTCAAAGCCATACTTGTAATACTTCTGAAATAAAGTGGGGTGGTACGAAAAACTTAACCAAGGTGTGACGCCAACGCCGACGCCGGGGCGAGTAGGATAGCTCCCCTTTTCATAGAAAAGTCGAGCTAAAAACTTGGGAACAAAACAAAATAAAATCTTTTGAATGAGAATAAAATCTCATAATGATAAACAAACAAATAAGAATAAAGTATTATACCATCAACAGGAGCACCATTTATGAACCACTGTATGTCTGGTTTTGGAATACCGTCTGCTTTACACTCAAATATGGCCGTCTCTTCTACACCAACATCCACCTTACGTGGCTGAGCTTTCCATTCCGGTTTTGCTGTAAAACAAAATGCATTACCGGTAATTAAGAAATAGGAATTTGTCTTCTTAGACAACACTGAGAATGTATATACAAATTTTCTTGATATGAGGAATATACAAATTATATTTTTACTTGTAACTACTCACCTGGAATAGACATGTGTCCTTTAAGACATGAATGCTCACACATCCCACTGTTTTATGATTCTACAGACAGACAAGGTGACAGCCATACAAAGGGACGGACTAGGGCAAAATCTATATCCCACCCCATTTCCCCAGCAGTGGGGGCATCAGAAGTCACTGATGTTACTGTTTAATCAGATTTAATAAATTCTATCCAAATGAATTTATATTGTACATGTTGCTGGATTTTATTAAGACAACTTGACAATGTTAAGGTCATAATGATGACTTTCCAGCAATACTGGGCTGTGTTTCATAGAATGTCCTATTTTTTAGTCTGAAATCAGTCTTAAGACCAAAACTGAGACAATTTTGTGTTTCAAAGAAAATGTCCTAACTTATGACTCCTATGTTATGACTTTTTTATTTTCTGTATAGCAATGCTGATGAGCATAATTATACATATGATTGCAAACTTTTCTTAGGAGAATAATTAAAATAATTTAAAGTTAGTCCTAAAGTTGGTTTATGTCCTAGAACTTAGGATACACTTAGGAATTACACTAGGGATTTACTATGAAGTGCAGCCCTGGTTGTCCTGGAAGGCACCTGGTATGTATTCATTCATTATTCTCAACAATGAGGGGTATAAGATTCCAATTCAGCAACCACAAGCAATTAGCTGCAGTGCCCCCTACACCCCTTCTTTATTTCAAAATGCACTTGTACTGCTATGGAAATGGAACAAACTTTTGTAATTGTAAGTTCATTATATTCAGTACCACAATATTTAAACTGTGTGACATGTGAGAAGTAGGGATATCTAAGCAATATACAGGGGACAAAGGTGTTTTCTCTTTCAAGGCACATTATGTCTCAGAAACAATTTCTTTTCTTTCTTTAAAAAGGACAAATTTTACTTTATAACATGTAAATAATGGTTTTAGAGCATGTTAAATACTTATTATCTGAAGAAAGTAGCGCTGAATGTGAAATTATTTGTCATAAAAGTAGCAATATTTAACAAAGTGGTATTTTAAATTCCAAACAAAGTACATAATCACCACAGCTGTACTACTTGCCAAGAAACAAACAATGGGTCAAGTAATTGGCCAATGAGTGACTTTTTGAACAGGACACCAACTTTTGATATCACTTACATGCCAAGAAACAAACAATGTGTCAAGTAATTGGCCAATGAGTGACTTTTTGAACAGGACACCAACTTTTGATATCACTTACATGCCAAGAAACAAACAATGTGTCAAGTAATTGGCCAATGAGTGACTTTTTGAACAGGACACCAACTTTTGATATCACTTACATTCTACTGTTAAACTGAAGCGATGTGTTACTGGACTTAACAGTAGATTGTTTTCTCCCCTGCATTCATATACTCCCGAGTCATCAACTGACACATTTTTTATCGTTAACTTTTGGTTTTTTCTGATCATTCGACTGCTGTCTATTTTGCCTCCTGACTTTCTCACCCATTTGATATGTGGGGTAGGGCTGAAAATATGGAAGGTAACTTTTAAGAGATTAGCCCCGTCATGACAAAACCAATGTAATGCGTTTGCAACTAGCATGGATCCAGACCAGCCTGCGCATCCGCGCAGTCTGATCAGGATCCATGCTGTTCTATATCAGTTTTGCTACTTGCTATAGGGTTTGTAAGCGAACAGCATGGATTCTGATCAGACTGCGTGGACGCGCAGGCTGGTCTTGATCCATGCTGGTCGCAAACACATTGATGTTGGTTTTGTCATGACGCGGCTCATATGTTTTGACATATAGGTTGAATAAGAAATTTTTTTAATAATGCCTTAATGATGGTACATTTATATCTATACCGCATAATGACCATTTCAACATATTTAACATTTTTTTAACACGTGACAATGATGGTCATGAATTTTTAATAACATAATAAATTATTATAAACATACAATTTTATCAAGGAAAAATGAAAAAAACTAAATTATCAAATGATAGTTTTTAAACAAGCAAGCCTCCAGATTCATGTTTAATCTTTTTTCAAAACTTAAAATCTGTTCTAATTCAGGTAAATAAAACTGTCCATGCCTTCTGATCATTGTTTGCGCTGGTTGCCATTCATTTGGTACTAATTTTGAAGTGTCCCTAATAATGATGAATGGTTTTGTCCAGATTGAAACATGGACAAGTCTATTTAAGATAATGAGGGTGGTAAGGGTTAAAACATGACAGTTAATAGATACATACTTGCCGGAGAAGATACAGATAAACGTAACTGATTTCCCCTTTATTCCTATGACATCATCATTTGAATGATAAACCAACTCGGCACCAAATACGTTATTTTTACCTGTAAACATGAACAATATTATAACTTATACAGGCAAACTTTCGCAAATTATTAAGAATAACGTGAAAGGCTTTTACTTCCTTTTTTTTGAATTATTCATGTAAACTATTTATATAAATATATCTTGAGTTAAAGAGGTATAAGATAAATGTATATAAAAAATTGTTATTTTGGAAACACAAATCATAAACAGCTTGTATTAAGTCTTCAGTAAAATATAACATCCAAGTTCCACCTTACAATACATTTTGTATCATAGTTTGGAGACCTTTTTGTTGAAAATGTGTCAGTTAAATCATATACATGCATTTAGAATGGTAAGAGTCTGTTAAGACAATGCTTATGCAACAACAGCTGACCTGACTTTCTACCTGCAAACAGTGCCACTTGTTTTTAAAGACTGAACTCTTAAGCTATTCAACAACAAAGAAATAAAATCTTATTTTCAGAAACTTACCACTATCATCCACTTTTATTTTAGTGAAAGCGCCCTCTATGTACATGTTAAGTTCTTTCAACTGAATCTCACATGTGTACTCTTCACCAAAATTTTCATCTGACTTTTGAACATTTGCAAAGTAAAGATTTCCTGAAGAAAAAAGCAACATTTTTTGTGAAATGTTTTGGGGCGGGGGGAATGAATGTTCAGGTAAGTCACAGTGAATCTGTTATGGTCTTGTGGTAACTTTCAAGCTTTATCTGGAAGAGGAATTTCCATTTGAATTGTGCGGGCACTATTGACCTAATGCTTTTACACACATTTTTAATTTGTTACACAAAGATAAATTAAAAAAAAAAACTTAATTGTTTTGGATTTGAATTTGTACCTGCTAGCAGACAAAAGAAAATAATACATTTTTAATTTTGACCTAATGCATTTACAAACATTTTTAATTTGTTACACAAAGTTGGAAAAGAAAAACTCCTGATGTGTGTGGTTTTGACAGAAGACATTTAAAACACAATGCTTTAAACCACTAAGTGAACAATGCAGGTGTTAAATTTATAGAATTAAACATAAATGTGCACTTACTTATGCATGTAATTGCAAACAAGCTAGCTGTATTACATCCTAATATCATAAATATGAAAAAAAAAATCTTTTACTGAATTAAGGGGACCCACATGTTTTAAGCCAATTTAATTTTAGTGAATTATATTTCACACCAAACTTCAATAAGTTTATACAGGTGTAACCATACCTTTGTCATCTTGTGAAATTCTGTCACTAAAATCCATGTAATTTTTTCCTTGGCCTTCGTCAGAATATTGTACCCATCGTATGATACCCGGCGGGTTGTTCTCTGGTGGGTTACATTCAAGCTTTAACGGTTCAGCAGCAATTACTTTTTGTGTAAAGGTTTTTGCATCTTCGGTGAACGATCTTTTCGTAGCTTTCAAAAAATGGATCTTTTTGGACTTGGAAACACCGTAGGGATTTCTTGCAATGCACTGATATATCCCCTCGTCTTGGTCTTGGAGTTCCATGATCGTTATGGTTCCTTCATCGGATGACACAATCTTAGATGTGTTTGTTGTATTAGATATGTACTTAGGATCTTTTAAATTAATCACATTACCATTTCTGGTCCAATTGTACCTGAAATTATAAATAACAGAATGTGATTGTAGATTAACATTCCTGTAAAAATATTCTTCTTGCAATATTCAAGTTTACAATTCAAGCTGGGATAAAAAAAATGGAGACTATCTTACTTACAAAATTGGAGAATTTTTAATTTAAACGAAAAATTTCAAACAAAATAAGAATAAATATTTTAAAAGTAACTAAAACTTAAGATAAAAAAAACCAAATCAACTTAAGTTGGGAAATAAGAATTATTTATTTTACAGTTTGCCTATACATGTAATCTTAAGCATGATTTGTTGATTCTGAAAAAAAATTTCATTTAACTATCCAATAGCAAAGCTTCTGTTAAACATTGCACAGTAGAGAAAATCTATTGCAATCTTATTCTTAAAAGGAAAGTCATGAATATCTTTATGTACAATACAGTCCAATCTGCCATTAAATTTAAATGTACATCTATTTCGATCACTTAATTTCATATGCACAGTACCCTCTTCTTCTTTTTTTTACTACTGTTCATGTACACTCCTCCCTCTGGTTACAATCTGGACTTAAATAGTTACTTACAAGATGATAAATGTCACTGCTTTTAGCACAAAAAAAATATATTAATCAATTCTTGAATTTTAAATGTCTGTTGCTAAATAAGATAAGTGTAAAAGCAAGCAAAAATCATAAAAGCGCAATTCAGTTTTAGTATGAGAATAAGGACTGAAACAGAAATATGGGCCGCGTCACAACGCAACCAACATAGTGTGTTTGCGACCAGCATGGATCCAGACCAGCCTGCGCATCAGCACAGTCTGATCAGGATCCATGCTGTTCGCTTACCAACTCTATTACAAGTAGAGAAACTGATAGCGAACAGCATGGATCCTGATCAGACTGCCAGGATGCTCAGGCTGGACTGGATCCATGCTGGTCGCAAATGCACTTTGTTGGTTTTGTCGTGACGCGGCTCATATCAAAGCTGCCAAATGTGTAGCTTTCCTGGCCATAAGATATATTAGTACATAAACCCACAAAATCTATAGTCTATTTCTAGCAAGTTAGGATATAAAAAACACTGAAAGAAAGACGGTTATGCTGTAAAAGAGAGATTTTGTTAGATAAACACTGGAAAGATTTAGTAGTATGACCATTATATGTTAGTGGTTGATCACGACAGCTTAGGGTACCCTTTTTGTTTTATGACTGTTTGAAAAATTTAAAAGTTGCTATTTTGAAATAAGGTTACTTTATACGATACGATACTGGGAATATGAATTTAAAAACATTAATGTGTGCCAATGGTAACGAAAAACCAGCCTTAATGGTAGGTGCTGTGTTGCAGTTGTTAAAAAGTTGCCCTGTGTTTTATATGAAGATTTAGTGTAGATCCAAAACAAGTAGAAAATAAATTTCAGTAAACAAAACCAGTTGTAATGTGTTGTTTTTCTTCCATTTCCGATTTGCTGAACTTTTTAGGTTTTTCAGGATCATTTATAATTTTTCCAAAACTTTTAGTGTTGAAAATTGAGTGATGGTTATAAGCAGGTGCCGGGATGTGTGAGAGATGTTATGTTGAACTTTCATTGTTTCTCAAAAACAAACTCAATCAATTCAAGCTTATAATACTTACTAATTAATTGAAAATTGAAATGCTCTAGAAACATCTCCTCTGCAAGATTTTTTTCTTCTTTCCTCATAAAAAACTGTGCTCTGAATTGTGGGCGTTGCATATTATGTTTCATTGCGAACTATGTGTTATATAATATAACAAACCTACATACCTGATAGGTTGTTTAAAATTTACATCAATCAATTAAGTTCTCAAACTTATGTACATGTATAAAAAGTACTTTATAATGATTGGCAGTTTCAAATTTGAAATTAACCAATGAATAAAACTTATGGTAAGAGACTGGTTTCAAGTCTCATTTAATCAATACTAAATAATATAAATTTACTTGTAGATCTTTTTTTTAGGTAATACGACTGTTCTCTGTTATCAAAAGAATTTAAAAATACTTCTTGCAAACTATCTTAAATATCAACAGACTTTCTGCTTTACCACAAATAATTTGTGTGGCACAATACCAGTTTAAGTTTTATGCAATAGCAATTAATACCAGTTTAAATTTTATATTATAGACATGATTTTTTTATATAAATTTTCATTTTAACAACAGTGCTATATTCTTTGTTCAAACAGTCATAAAATAATGATCTGATTCACATTTGAAAAGCAATATCAAAATATAATTCAATTCAATGGTGAGTCTACAGCTATCTACAAGTCCTCCACAACTGTGAAGGCTGGCCTAGCTTATATAAATCCTGGTGAGTCTATATGAGCCGCGTCATGACAAAACCAACATAATGGGTTTGCGACCAGCATTGATCCAGACCAGCCTGCGCATCCGCGCAGTCTGATCAGGATCCATGCTGTTTGCTTACAAACCCTATAACAAGTAGAGAAACTGATAGCGAACAGCATGGATCCTGATCAGACATGCTGGTCGCAAATGCACTTTGTTAGTTTTGTCATGACGCGGCCCATATGTCTATATGGCAACTTGAGTGAATCAGACCAACAGGGTACCCTAGCCTGGTTTATGAGATGTCATCAAATATTCTAGCACCAAGACTAGCTAGAGATACATTAGTTTGACACTCCATTTATAATAAATTTGAGTACTTGGAATTTGGAATTTTCAGCGTTTTGCCGTTTTTGGTCCACTCAAATCTGTAAAAGAAATTGGCATAATACAAGACATAATATAAATACATATATACAAATGAAAAGGCTATGGGTGCATTGTTAAAAACAGCAATCTTCATGACATTTTTTTTCTCAGACTTTTTGAAGTTCATTTGTTTTTGTTAAAGACAACAACAAGGAGAATAACTATTGCCAACCATCTTTCATTTGGCCATGTAGCATGCTATCATATGTACATTACTAAGTTGATATTTTATCATCTTTTGCCAAATGCATGTAAAAAGTCATATAAGTCAATCATATATATAGGAATGTTGCAAAGCTAAATTAAAGCTGTTCTTTACAGTACATCCATAATTCTGAAAAAGACAAACTGGTAATAACATATTGAGATTACATGTATATATCAAAACATGCCATTTGTACAGAAATACATTGTGATGATGCAGCTTTCATCAGAAATGGATCAGAAACTCCCAAGGATAGAGAAATTATGTGCAAAGAGATGTTATTGCAAAAAGACAGAAAATTATTGTTCCCATAAATATTGCTACCATATAGGGTAAGCGAATAAAAAAAACCCAAACATTTATAACTTTCATAAGCTGGTTTTTGAAAGGGTGAAATAACTGACAAATACTGGAGAATATACGATTATAAGCATTGTTATAATATCATTATCCAAGGATAGAGTACAGCTAATATGTGAGCAGGGCAAAGAGTGGTCAAGTAATATTTATTATGCCTACAAATCAAATGGCTGCAAGTTTGACCCAACCCAACCACACAGAGACACACTATTCCAACTAAAATTGTTGTTAACAAGTTTGATCCCTCCCTCCATTATTCCAAATAAAATCATTAACAAGTTTTTCCAATGGGGTACTCTGTAACGATGTAAAAAATAAGAATTTCAATATCAAATGAATAGACAAGTCATTATTGATGGTAGCTTTTTAACTTGATTTCTGCAAGTCTCTTGCAAGATGTCCCTATTTTATTCAAGTGAATCTACCAAAAATAAATTTCTCTAGGAGTGCATCTTTCAACCATGAATTATAGTACCTTCAGTGGGTACCACGTCCCAGCCGATATCATGGTAATCATAACATATAACTATTCATAGAAAACATCACATATAAACATTGCAGACTGACTTATAAATGTTCAAGTCTTTGATCAATGATTTACACATTGTTTGGCACAATTACTTTTAAGTACAGATACAACAGTCGATATAGTAAAATTAGTCAGTGAAAGTAAGTCCTTACAAATTTAGGAAATGTTAACCACTGCTTTTATGACCCAAGGGCAACAACAACCTTAAACATTGTTAAAGATGCTAAAAAAAAACCCGGGACCTTGTAGAAAAAGACTGACAGTTTATAGCAGTAATAAAGCTGGAAAGCAAATTCTTCAAAGATTATTTGGGAATGACCTTGAAAATCCACAAATTTAAGATCACTACAAATATGTCATATCACAAATAGTGTGTCACATCTATATCAATGTTACAATATTTATAATTAAAAAAAATCACTTCTAATTCAATTCTAGAAATAATGGTATTTACAAATCTAAAGAAATAATGATTTACACTAAAACTGTAAAATTATAATTTACATTTAAATTTTAAATGCAAAATAAAAAATTAATGTTGCAATCGCAAACAGAAACAAGAAAGTCATGTAGAGCTGAAGTTGCTCACCAGAATAAACCTGCCATTATCCATAATTCACGCAGATATATTTATCAGTTTTTGAAAATAAAACATTAGCATGTAGTGCATTTAAGGGCCAAGAGCACTTTTGCAAGACCAAATTTCCATAAAGGTCATTTAAAGTGTGCTAAATCTTAAGTTTGGGAGGATCCATTCATAGGGTCTTAAGGGCTTTTCCATTTTTAGAGCTTGTGGTCCCTAAAATAAGCCTTAGTCTGTTTAAAAATGACTATATTTAAGCATGGACGATCTCAGGATGTTACATTATGAAGTTTGATAATCATCCTTAATTTGAGCCACATCACGACAAAACCAACATAATGGGTTTGCATCCAACGGATGCTCAGGTCTGGATCCATGCTGGTCGCAAACCCATTATGTTGGTTTTGTCGTGATGTGGCTCATTTGTTTCATTTGAGTTGTTTAGGGAGTTCTCTAAGTCCAGCTTTGGTGGATTCAAAAATGGGAATAACTATTGATATCAAATGAGGACAAGGTAATTAATGTCACATGGAAAGTTTTAATAATTTTGATTATTTGTTTTTTTACACAGATTTTTAACACATTTCAGGTTATATGTCGATCGTCGGTCCAATGAACCATTGTTTTTCTTGAGAACTAAACCAGTAATTACTTATTTTTCTACATGTGACGTATGACACATCCCACATGATTTCTGAATTAGCTATGACAGACAAATGACAAGTAGATTTAATATCCACGATCAATTGTCTAGGAAAACTTTTGCAGCACCCAACAATCAAACCAGCAACCTCTAGATTACAAATCTGATTCTCTCCCTATTGAGTTAAAGGGGACAGACTAAAATAGGACAATCCATACAGGCAATTTCACCTGGAAATTCTTTAATTTCTTCAGTTATCATTGACAGTCAATCAATTCTACTGCCTGACCCGAAATGACAGGAATATTTTACCCTTTACAAAAGTTTGACATTAAAGTGAACTGAACATGATTCAACTTATAAAATACAACAAAATTAACATAATTAAATTATAAATACCCTCTAAAATTTGTGCAACATCAAGTTAAAAGGACCACCTTACAATGGGCAATTTTTTGGGGGGCAAATTTTCTTTGAATGTCATTATTAGAACTTCATCATAATGGGATATCTCACCATCTATTTCACTTAAAAATTACCAATTTGGGAATACAAATAGTGAAAAAAAACCAGATGTTACTTTTTTTCTTTCTCAAAATAACACTTGAGAAATCAAATTAATATTAATATGTATTAACAAAAAGAGATTGATGTCAAAATGGTCTTTTTGTATCGTCAATACAGCACTATTTAGTAACAAACAGGATAAAGATGGTCCCTTTTCCCAAATTTACAACAGTACATATCCATGGTCACTTACTTGATAGTAGCGTTTCCTGTAGCTATACAAGGGAATACATGAGGTTTAGAACCATCAGGATCGAAGAATATTACATCCTTGTCACTTTCTCCCGCTATAATAATGGTTGGTGGTTGAGTAACTAAAGAGAAGAACAAAACTTTATTTATATAATAATTATGAACAGCATACAAGTCAAATTTTTAGAAAAAAAAATTACCTTAAAGGCTCATTATGCCTCAAAATGCTATCATTTTATTTTCTAAAAGCATTTTATTTTTTGTCTGTTGTTACAATTTCACTATAATTGATTCATTTAATATGAAAATGTATACCAATAGTATTCATATACCTACTGTTATAATGCCATGATAAATTTATTTTTTATAGAGACTGAGGCTATGAAAGATTTCAGCAAAATCAGCATGTAATGCAGAATGAAAGCAACATTATAATAACCCTTTCATCAGACCAAAAGATCTTATCTGAAATTCAACAAATGAGGGTTTTTTCCAAGCTAAACACATGTTATGAGCACTGTTACAGCTTCATGGAACACTACAATTCACAAAAGAATAACCTGTCAACCTGTTGAACTAATTTTCTGAGCTGAACTGTAAAAATTTGTTTGAACCCCCTATTTTTTGGCGGTGACTACTTTTGTATATAATTAAATTAACATTTAACTTAAGGTTTTATGTTGGCGATGTGAATAAGATAATGTTTAATTAAATGAACTACTTTTTGAAATAATGCTAATTCAATGAACACATTTGGCAAAAAATTGCTAATACAATGCATTTTACTTTTAAAAGTAATTCACCACAAGTCTTATTCAATCTCTAGCATAATTATAACTTTTTCTTCAAGGCTGAAAATTACTGAGATATGAGAAAAATATCCAAGTTATGATAGAAACATTTACCTCTTGGTGGTTGGTCCACAGACAATACACACTGTACTGTCAGTATGACTAGGAAAATAAGAATACTGTATGGCCTCATGGCGGTGACTTTGCTATAAACTACCCTAATGCAGGAATGAATGTCTGTAAAAGTTGAAAGCCACTACATGGCTTTACTTCACAATTGCTTCTTGGTGATTCCCTGAAAATGGAATAAAGATTGGTTAGATGTAATGTAAAATTTCGCATGTTCAATAATGACATGAAAAATAAATATTGGTAAATAGCACTATGCATATTTTAAACCATATCCTAAACAAAACGAAAAAAAAACCAATAGTTCATCTTGCATATGCATATAGCTGTAAAATTTCTTCATATTAATTCTGCAAACAATCTGAACATCTTTACTTGCTAGGAGCACACCATCTAAACATATTTACTTGCTTAGTCTTAGGAACAGCTTTACTGGCTTGGAACAGTTTTTCTTGCTAGGAACAGCTTTACTTGCTAGGAACAGCTTTACATAATGTACCTACTAGGAACAGTTTTACTTGCTAGGAACAGTTTTACTTGCTAGATACAGTTTTATTTGCTAAGAACATTTTTACTAGCCAGGAACAGCCATTGAACACTGTTTTTACTGGCCAGGAATTATTGCCAGTATTATACACTGACATCCAACCATATCAATATTCCAAAAGAACACAATCATGGTGAATATGATCAGATTATTTAACTACACAAGCATCTATGCACCTTGATCAATCTCAGTATTCTGTAACATCAATAATTAAATGCTTAATATCATAAATTCCTACACAAACTGGTAGATTATACATGGTGGATAGTCTCTTGACATTTCAATTCTATAAACGGTACCAAAACAGATTGATTTTACATTGCCAATGACACACTCTCGCTCTCAAATAGATATAATTGAATTATTGTAAGGTTTGATGTGATTCATGGCCATCTTAGATTCTGTTCAGTCTTATAATTAACTTCTGGTTAGCTAATGCAAACTTTAATGCAATAACAAGGGGAACTATTGTACATAGCACTTATATCATAAAGAAAGCTTTCAGGAAAAAAGAAATATATGCTGCAAATCACAGATGCTCTTTATAACATGCTTATTTTCTGAAAGAGTCTTAATTAGATTTAGGAATATTCATAAAAGGCCATAGGCTAGCAAAAACGTTGTATATTATCTAAGAATTTCCCACAGAAATTTAAAATAAATGGTAAACAGAGAACTTCTATTTAGACTGAAATGCTAAAAGCAGATTTATTTTATTGACTGTTTGATTTTAAACAAGACAAATACATCATAAAAACTAGCAGATTTTAGAACATTAAAGAGACTGAATGGCTTCAATACACTTTATGGATTAATTTATTATTATCTGTTTTAAAGCTCTTGAGGAAACTAGTCATTTAGCTTCAAAAGACTAATTTTGGAAAGAAAAACAAACAGGAACATGGATGAAGATTATGCTAACTGAAAAGTCAAACACTTAGACAACACAGGTATAGGAAACTATCATTAGATATTAAACTCATGAAAATCTTACATGTATTTCAACTGTATCCTGTGAAAATTTTAATCAAAGATGCTTTAAATTAAAGGCTTAGCAGGATTTTGCTTTTGTTACATATGTTTTAGGCATAAAAACTTTTTTTGGAAAGTATTTTTTTATATCATAAAACATACATGGCACAATCAGCTTCTATATAACTTCATACAATTGTATTTCAAATAAGTTTATATACATTAGAACACTGTGAGAACTACGAGGAATTATAAAGAAAGGCTCTTTTGAGGGTATTTACAATCAAGGCATTTACAATGGGGTATCCTAAATACTTATGGTATCGGCCACCACAAGTCATCCTCAATACCAAGTAACAATTTGCTACAGCCTTACTTCTCGCCTTCTTGCCAACAGGATTTGAACATTTTATAACACAGACTGACAAGACCTAAGAGATATTACACCTATAAGCTCTGAGATTTCCTTACAATCAAGCATTAAAAAATAAGTAAATTCAAACTAAACACTATTCAATGAGATACAATCATTCAAAGACAAAAGCAAGATCATATATTTCAACGACAGCAACTGAATCCACCCATGTGACCAGTGCAGACCAGGCTCATCTGTGCTGTCTGATCATGGTCTGCACTGGTTGTTATTCAGTCAGTGCACATTTTTGAATTTTTTCCATAAAAATAATAAATTAATTTAACCAGATTGAACGATGGACTCTTCCAATTATGATATTTAGTTTTGCAAGGTAAATGATGACATGCAACTCGACTGACCCCTACGACACAAATCAAACAAATGTTTATCTCTACGGCTGAAAAACAAATCATATCTGCTTGTGTATAAGGAAGAACTGTAAGATCAATGCCTTCAGTTCTGTCTGTATCATTAAGAAAGTCTCCACCAATTATTGATCATTCTCCTATTTTATACATGTGAGCTATTCTGGGAAGCATTTTTACTTTTATTTCCTGGTGATGTATTTATTTTCACTAGGACAGACTGTAATTAGCCCTTTACCTTGCTGCACTGGAAGTGATGCATAAAGACTTTGCAGCCAGTTACAGAGCCAAGCCCGTCTGCCTCTGTAATAAGTAAGTAACAACATAATGTAATCAGGCTCTAATAAACACTACTGGCATTTTCATCTTAATATCCCCAAAGTCGATAATGGACAGTTCCAAAAATGGAAGCTGGAAGAATCTATTTAAGAATTTAAGCAGGTTTAGGGGGTAAAATTTTTTTCTTTCCATTTACTTAAATCAGATCACATTGTCAATTGACATGAAATTGGAATCAGGTGTTTTCAGAGCTGTGATTTTTTTTTATTCCAGTTTAATGTCAATTCTTCTGACTTATGACAAAAAAGGTTTCCTTAAAGATTTCAACCATATAGTATCAACTAATCAATACAAAAATTGCTAGAGTTGAAATGTGCTGAATTTTGTTTTTGTACTTAATATTAGATTTCTAAAAAATATCTGAGTTTTAAGTTTCAGGTTCAAACCACATTGTTTGTGACAAATGACTTTAACATAGTAAGGTAAGTCACTGGGGTTTCAAACGAAGTTGGGGCCACTTTTGGAATCACACTCTCTTAGAAATGTAACTAAAAGAAGCTATCTGCTAAAAAAAGCTATATTAGAGATACCATTTTATCAATTGTTAGGTTTTTAGGTTATATTTGTATTTCTTTATATGCCAATTATCCTATTTCCATTTTGGAAGATAACTTCCCGGCTACAGATTGTCCATGGACAGCCTTAAAATGACCATGGATATCCATGGATATCCATGGAAAGAGCATGGAAATACATGGATAAGTCAAGTGAATGGACAGTGTCCATACTAACAACATGGATAACATGGACGATGTCCATGAATTACATGGACAGCGTCCAGGGAATATAAAAATGTTCATGGACATAGTACAAAAAAACTATGTCTAATGTGGACATTGTCCATGGTCAACTTCATTGCTCATACTTAGAAATTTTTATCAAAAGTGATTGGATGGATATGCAAAAAAAATCTAAGTGCCAAAACATGAAAAATGTTTAAAAAAATCATAACTGCCATTCTTCAAAAAATTATATGTTAATATTGGGTATCAAATTAATCAGCATGAAAAGAAGAAATCAAATATAGTAAGATCAAGTAGATTTTTTTTTTTTTTTTTTTTTTTTTTAAATTCCAAACTTCAGTTAAATGATAATATAGAAAAATATACTGTACCCTTATGCATACCATTTCAATTATATAAAAAGATAATCTAGTCTAACTACTTGTAGACTTGTTTAGGTTTGTTTGTTTCTGTTTTTGTTGTTCATTATCATATATTACCCTAATAAAGTTAGAAAAATAAATGCACAATTTAATAGAAACAATTTAAATTTAAGAACAAATGTAATTGTTATGCACTTATATTTATTTATTAATTGATGATAAATTAATAATTATTATGTATCTCTATTGAAGTATATATAATTTATATATTCATCCTGTGTAGATGTAACTTATGTATAGTGATTAATTTCTGGAACATTCAAATTAGCATCAGCCACAATGTAAATATTTATGACCCCTCAAGTGGAACCTGCTGTTTTCATAACTACCAATGTTAAACTCACCTATCTGATATAAGAGAATAGAAAGAGGTAAAGCAGGTTTACAACATACTATATTACACTGTAGCTCCCAAGTAACTTAATACCCTTGCAGAACAAATCACAGGTCAGAACACTCCTTCCAGGCGGGTCATTTGAACAGGAGCATTGAAAGATAATGTTTATTAGTGCCTTAATATACTGCTTAAAAGTTATAACTTGAAATATTATGTTGGAGCATTGGAAATTAGACCAAATGAGTTTAAACTGGACAAATTTACAAGAGTTTTCTGGAAATATGAACTTTTAAACATGTGTATTTCATGATTCAGTTAAAATGGAGGGAACTACATGTATATAACCATTTCTAACAGTAAGTACAAATGTATTTTTATTTTTTAACACTTATTATTTTAGTTTTTTCAAACTTTCTTTGCAAGTATACACTGTTTCAGTTATTGTATTTCTACATACATGTAACTTTTCAATATAAATAGTTAAGGAAATCTTTTTCATTTTTAAATAATGGCGGGAAATTTTAAATCAGAGATTACAATTTTACATTCAAAATATTGGTGATTGATCAAGCAATGAATTTCCAAATTCACATTTAATAAAATTCATAATATGCCTTAATTGTAATTTCTTGTTACTCATGTACATATGTTTATTTTTTCAACATATTAGGTTGCAAACTTTCAAGTCTTGGAGTCACATGAGATGTTTCAACTCAAAGGATGTCAGATGAGGGAAAAGTGATAAATGTACTGTTGAATACAGAATGCTTACAAAACCATCCTGGTAATAATTTAGTTTGTTTTGTTGAAAAAAGTCGAAGTAACATGTTTTCATATAAATGCATGTTATTTTCCAAAGTCTGAACAAAATGTTGTTCTTCATGTTTTATACATATATTATTGTTATACTGACTCCACTGAACAAATCTCAAACTTTCAGTGGTAATTAAGTACTTGTGAAGGATTGAGTAATTTAAACTGCCATAACATAAAAGTTGTCATTATATAAATATAGGAAAAGCAGGGAAATAATTGACACAAGTTTATCATAATGTTGATTTTGACCAAAAAATGAATCATTTTCATCAAAGCATGGTGTTTACTTGATAACTCTGTGCTGATATTCTGCAAAAATCATTTAATTGAAAGTTTTCCATCTTAACTTTTTTTACCCTTTCATGTTTTTTATCAATCATGTTTTAACAATACTAATTATGTTGTAAAGGGCAACCTCGTTAATCATTAATACAAATGGTGTTATGTTATGAATTAAGCTCAAAAATGCTACAAATGATGTCAGTACTAAAATTGATAACAAAGAATCCAAAAGAACTGAAAATGCCAATATTACATTTCAGGACCAACTGCAGAGCAAGGTTATTGGCATAACCACCTACAGTAAGATGGCCATTGTTCTATTCCGCTTTTTGTATAAAGAGGAGGAATATGCCGGAAAATCATTGACAGGGAAAGCATCCAAAAGTGGCGAAAAAAGGCCACCTGTTGACCAAGAAAAAGTGACAGGAATTTACGGTCAGTGTTTCTTTTTTCTTTTTGTTTTTTGGTTATTTAAATTTCATTGAAAGTTTTTGAATTTCATTGGAAGTTTTTAACAGTTTAACAATTATTCAAGGGTTAAGTATATTACATTGATTTGTCAAGTCAATATTTATATAATTTGTTATGTTCTTTACAGATATCATCAAAAGGAATTTTCCGCATGTCACACCAGTGATGGTCAGGGAAAAGCTGCGTGACATTGTCAAGCCATCTCGTGCCAACAAAACAGTGAAACAATAAATATGTGTACAAAATAAACTGTGGCCGTTTTAGCCATTCAGAACAATATAAATGAGAACATTTGAGAACTTGTTTTACTTCATATATGGTGTAAATAAATCTTTAATGTGTCATAATTTTACAGCCTTGTCAATTCAAAATCATTGTTACACTAGTGCAACTCCCAAGTGAAAAAGATTATGTGGGACCTTTTTTTACAGACTTTTAAACAGGTATCTCAACACAAGTGTGATATCATGGACATTGACCATGGATGTCATAAAAGATTCCTCAAAATTGGTTTTGAACATTGATAGAATGGACATTGTCCATAGAAAGAATGGACATTGTCCATGGAAAGAATGGACATTGTCCATGGTAAGAATGGACATTGTCCATTGTAAGAATGGACATTGTCCATGGACATCATGGACATTGTCCATGGGTATCATGGACAATGGACATGGAAAGCATGGACATGGATAGCATGGACACTGTCCAGGGATATAAAGAATTGTCCATGGACAAGTGTTTCAATACTCCATGGACACTGTCCATGCTTATATCCATGGAAATCCATGGACATTCTGTAGCCGGGTGTAGGGAAATCAGGATGGAAAATTTTGGCAAATTGGTCAGCCAACAATATGACCTTTAATGATAAAAGCATTTAAAATTGTTCATTACATAAAATACAACTGCAAAATTTCCTCCATTACCACATTATCAAATTTCAACGTCAATATCATATACAGAACATGTAGACTAAAAAAATTTGGAGAAACCATTATGTCTGAAAGCTTTTCTGTGAAAACAACTTCACGAACTGCATATTAAGTTATCTGTTCTGAATATTCAATACATAATTCTGCAGAACAGCATTGGAGAAAATAGGTTATAAAGCACATGTAAAAATCAATCATATTGCATGGCCTACAGGTTTATCACTGGTTCACACAATGTTATCCACTTGTTGGTCCAGGTCTATAATTATCGATCAGAATTCTGCAAAAGATATGTTACAATGTCCATAGACTACAATTTACAAATGCCACATTATCTTATCTAATCTTCCCTCATATGCTGCCGCCCACCCCGGCAAAGCACTTAGACTGTCTGCCAATTGTTCATTTCAAGATATTAAAGTTTCTCAAGCCAACTTTTATGAAAATATGGGCAGACAAACTGATTTAGAGACTAAAAGTATCTTCAAGTGAAAAACTAAGGAAATTTAAGCTAGCATAGCTGAGGCCTTGGCAGGCACAAGGCACTTACATTTAATCCAAAAAAAAAATTACATGAAACATGTTAAAATAACTTAAAGTAACCCTTATCTGTTTTGAAATGTGGTAAAAATGTGGTGATGAAAATACTAAATAATTCAGCTTAACTTTGATTGTATTTTGTAAAGTTTTCTTGTTCGTCATACATTCTTAAACTGATAATATTCATTTATTTTTCTTTATCAAGATGAAAATTTTGGTCAGCCAACAGTAAGACAAACTGCACGACCATACACTGCTGCCTGCTGGCAAAGGAAAGTTACTTTTGGTTCCAGCATATAAAGGAATATAACTATGAAGTGCTTTTCCTTGGAAAGAGCAAGAGCTGACCCAATTATCCAATGGTATAGTTCTGTCAATGACAAAGACAAGTTTTTTTGCTTTTTGGCTCCCAGCCCATGCGGTTCTGTCTGACTACAAATTAAGGGGTTGTGATTTAATTTAAGTCAAAGGCCACCTACCTCAACCAAAATTACTGACGAATCTTTGGACTTTAGAGACCGAGATCCTATGTAATAATGGTTTATTCTCCTGGAATGGAGTACATCTCTTGGACAAGATTAAAAAAATATATAAAAATTTCTAACAGTCTTCTAGAGTGATTTGCCCATATCTATTAGTTACAAGTGGCAGCTATCATTAAATATATATCATATATTTGGAAGAACAACAAGTATTTGACTCAAGGTTAACTCTATTTAATTTAGACTATTATATAAAATTTTGTGCATGATTCCATCAAGTTTTCACTTTTATTTTACATTTCAATTAAGTTAATGTTTCAAGATTTGATCATTTCACCATATAACTTCATAAAATAGAAATGAACAGAGGAATGTTGCATGTATTATTACATCTTTACTCATCTTTTCTTTTAAAAGCAGCAAATCTTCCTATCACAGTAAGCAGTAAAATGTGCCACTTCTCCTTAAGTCAATCTTATAGATTTCAATTTGGCTAATGTTTTTTAAGTAAAAGATTTTGAAATCAATCTTGGCATTAATTGCGATAATGCTCCAATAAAACTTCAGTGAGATACTGATAATGATTTGTTCAGATTAAGATAAGATTTGTCAAGAATGGCAAAATATGCCAGTGGGCTAGGATGAAAGGGAGGTAACTTGTTAAATACCATAACATTTGTCATGAGCAATATGCTGTAACAGGTTAATATTTTTAATTTAACCCATTACAGTGTGTGTGTGTATTTTCCCAAAGGGGGGAGTCCTCCAGAAGAGTATTAGACATTTCATATTTTGGAGGATAGTGCAATTACAGATACAGAAAGAAGCCCCAATTCCAGAAGCTTTCCCTGATTCTTTAACATGCGAAATGTTTAAGCACTTATACATGGGACCACGATTTAAAGTCTCATCCAATAGACTGATTAGCAATTTTAGTTGGCCAGCGTGAGAATCGAACCCACAATGTCAAGATTACATTAAGTCATGCGCTCCAACCCATTACAGTGCACTAAGGTGACGATATATATATATGCCGGTGGGCTACAGAAAAGGGGAGGTAACTTTTGAGATTAGAATATATTGAAAATTAAATGGTATTTAATATGCCAGTGGGCTAGAGAAAAGGGGAGGTAACTTTTGAGATTTAGAGTATGTTGAATATTAAATGGTATTTAATATGCTGGTGGGCTGAGGTGATGAGGAATTAACTTCTAAGATTCTGATAGGATACACCAAGATTGGGTATTATTATACTATGAAAGGAAATGGGTATTTGACAGTAATATGTGCTTCAAAGATTTCTGTAACAGTTGATCATGCTGCTATCTGGGTAAAACGGTTATCTTTCTTATCCAATCTCTATGCCTAATGTTTGAGGAAATTATCCTGGACTCTTTTTATTCTGGATACTGAAATTTCTAGTGTTTTATGTTTGTTCTTTATCTTATCAACTAATAAAACTGCCAACTTGTGTTATTTATTCTAATAACAATATGGTCATATTGACCTGTTATTTTCTATTATTTTTCTTCAAATTTCTCAAGTCTTCTAATTTAGACTATGGTCTGGAATATTTCAAAATGACAGCTTTCTTGTACATACTTTACACAAGAATAAAATGTATGTTAAGGCTGAAGTCAAACTGTATTGTTTTATAAGAAAAGTGAGGAAATAATGAATGGTCATTTCTATCATAAATGAAAATGTTATACAGAAAATGACTGCATAATTATAATCTATTAGTCACAGGCCATTTTGGATAAAAACTTACTGTCTATTAATTCTAACACGACTCGCATTTTTCCCTATTGAACATAGAAGAACCGAAAGTGTGTGTTATTATGCAACAGTCTCAGTCACTGTTTGACGTTCTATATTTAGACATGTGACGTAATCATTATACATTGTACATGTGACGTAACCACTCTAAAATCCGACGCGCTAACAATAAGTACGAAAACAAATCAGGTGCAATTTTGCTTAATAGCAGGTACGGCAGCATTTATTTGTTTATGTCGTGTTAGAATCGAAATAATATATCCAAATCGGTGATTTTATCGCTGCATGGATAACATCACTGTTTGTCGTTCGGATGCGCATCATTATATCACTCGGGCTACGCCCTCGTGATATAATTCCTCGCATCCAAACTCCAAACAGTGATGTTATTGAGCGATAAAATCAGTTTGGGATATATTATTTCTTAAATATATGAACCCATTCACTAGAGCCTGCTTTCTAAAACAAAATAATATCATCTTGAATGAATAATTTACTATAGTATGTACTAAAATACATTTCGTAATGAATACCAGATTGCAACAAAATACAGAAAAACTGAATCCCTAAAGACTTAGTGATTTATCTTGACTGGTTTTCCATATTATACAATTAATGCAAATAAACCAGTCTAACAAATCATCCTTAACTATAATATAATATACCGCAAAAACTTCCGGACTGGTTCAGTAAATGATATAATAATCAACATTTTCTATTGATAAAGTTATAGTCCAGTCTCTTATATCTATAGAATGATCCATATGGGACAACGGAATACTGATCTGTCCATATGGGGAAAACAACTGTTATAGTATTGACTTTTTCTAAACAATGGCAGGGACTTTTTGTTATATAATTAAAGAAACTAACTAATTAAGAACAGAAATATAATATCTGTTTTCTAAATAATTGATCATCCCGCTGAATGGTACACTATTATACAATATCACAGAGAAAATGGGGGAAAAAATACTATTGTAATACATTATTACGTGTAATTACGGAAATGAGGCGAAATGTACCCTTTTTATGGAAACTGTATCATTACAGCTCTAGGGTATAAAAACGCAAGGAAATGCCGGATCCTATGAAATGAACCAGAAATGAGATTTTATTCCATCTCTCCCAGCTGATAAGTCCTTTTTTATTGATTAGGATAACATTGCAAAACCATTTTTTATCATAGCTTATTTGCAAATGACTTTAGCTCTTTGCACAAGAGTTTCCATAACCTTTTAAAAGGTAGAAACTGAGGACTGCGAAGATAAAATAACTGACTCGAAGTGAAAATTTATAACATTGATCCCCCCACCCCCCATGGAACTTTTTGACAGGAGGTGGCACCGAAATAATACAACATTTCTCAAACTTTAAGAAGAGTTAGGGGGCATTTTTTTACCATTTGAGGCTTCAAAAAGGGGGAGGAGTTAAAAGAGATGTATGTTTATGAGGTTGATTAAATGATTAAATTGATTAAATGTCAATACATTAAAGTTGATTAAAAGTCAGTACCTCTTTCAACAGTTTGAGGAAGAATTCTGAGAGATTAGTTCATTAATTCAAGGTCATTATAAAAGACAACATGATATGAAACAATTTTCAAGAAGGGCTTAAACATTCAGAATATACATGTAGATGCAGTGAATCCTACAGAAGAATGACACTCTATAGAAAATGTATGTAAGACCTATCATAACCAAAAGATGGTAAATGTCAAAAAGAAAAAGAGGAGAAAAACAGCAATGGAAATTACAATTCATTGCCATGGCAAAAATTTATATTTGGAACAATCAATAGATATAAAATGAAATGAACTACAGAGGACAATAAAAATACTGGGAAAAAGCTAATATACAATTAACAATACAAGATACACAGACAAATATATTTTGTAAGATAGAGCTCAGGCAATTAAAAAAATGGGGGCATTCAGTAAAAACACATAACACATTAAAAAGTCTTTTCAAGGCATATGAATGTTTTTTTCAATTGAAGAAAAACTTATTTCTAAAACCCCAGAATACAGACAATGGTTTCCGGAGATTTCCAATTTGTACTCAATTTCAACAAATTTCTTGGCCTTCCAACAGTTTGATTAAATAACTGCAGTATCAAATGGTCTTGGAGTGAGAAATTCCATCAAGACTGACTATATTTAATCAATATTTCGCTGACCCAAGATGACCTCTTGCATGTCGTGCTGCTAGCACTGACCACCACGGAAATAGGGAGAATTAATGAGTCTGGCTTAAGTCTCTGGACAATGAGGACAGTGTCCGTAACTTGTTGAGGCGTGTGCCGGCAATAAATGGAAGTCAAAGCAAGATTTACATAATGATCTTAAGGGAATTTATGTCTTTAACATTCCTCTCTAATGTATAGAGATTTTCTACATATGGTGTTCAATTATTTAAGACAGAGTTTTGCTACATCTACATTGACATGTTTGAACTATCTTTGTTTGCAATCAATACACCATCACAGTCTTTGATTGTACCATTAAGTTACATGACAGATTAACTTGTTTGATGTACAACAAAAGATATATATGATAAGCATTTGTCAGTGTTTACAACAAGGTACAACTTTAGAAATTATGGCTATATTTTGATGTTTCAAGTTTCTAATTGTGACTAACTTTACATGCCAATAAAACTTTTGCCAACCAGTAACAGACCAGATCACATAATAAAAGTTCACAGAAGGAGATACAGACTGTTACATTACCTCAATCAGTCTTGTTTTGCAAGCCTTGCTTTTATCAGAAATGAAATCAAATGAACTTCTTCTACTGTCGGACTTTTAGTGCTTCTTTGAAATTGAATGACATAATCATGTTGTATTTGTTCTTAGTGCTCGCAAATTGTTTTAAGCCAATCACCGACGAGGATTTTTCAAATTTTCAGGTTACAAATCTTAATAGAACAGATTTTATATAAACTGGACGTTTTATATTATAAAACGCAAGTGGGCGGAGCTAAGTTTCGAAGAGCGCTAAAGTGAAATATACGCATGTGCAGAGATCTTGAAGTTTACTCCTACTAATCAATATTTATGCATCATGTTTTTCCGTACACGCACGTGTATATCGTCACTACCGCATAGAATTAAAAAAAGAGGTTCATTGAAATAAAAACAGGGAAAATAACAGTAAAAATGGGTTTTTACCTACGGAACCAGTATCATTTTATAATTTCCAAATAAAAAGTTCACTTATTCCAACAAAGTATGTATGTAATATTTCTTACTTTTTATGTAAATATTACAGCCCGTGCCGCTGCAAAACCGAAAGTAGGGTGCTTTTATTAATTTTACATTTATTTTTAACAATATACTGCCATTTGTCCGTATATGATATGTATATGAACATAATTAATATGTATGATGCATATATAATCAAGCTACAGGTTCATTTCAGCCCGAAAAATATGTCAAGGTGACGGGCGAGGCAAGACATGTCGACTTTTTGTAGCTTATTGTGAAGTTGCAGTACATGAAAATTGGGCACATAAATAAAACATTCTAGTGTTCCGTGGTATACATCTTTTCTACATGTCATACCTCCTTTCCTTATTACAATAAATTTTTACTGCATTGTTATCCATCGCTGGTTTGTTTTTAGCAGAGAATGGCCTGTGTATGTTCAAAGAGGGTACCGTTTGAGAATATTTCGCAAAGAGGGTACCGATATGGATATGCACCGTGATATTGTCTGATTTACCTAGACAGAATGCGGGAATAAGCTATGCAAAACACGTGACCTGAAAATGTGTACCGCTACCCCTTCCAAATATGGTTATACACATTAAGGCTATCATGTGACGTCACGCAGTGTGTTGGGCGGAAAAAAATGGGCGGAGCACTAAGCCGGTTAGAGTGCATATTGGATGTTCTTCGTAAATAAGAAAGCTACAGTTGCTTCGCAAGCTCCGCTCCTTTTTAGCTTTCTTATTTACGAAGAACACCCAATATGCACTCTAACCTATACATAGCCATCATTGTAATCAATGGTCAAGGTAATTATTGTAAAAGCACAAAGTAATCGATGTAAAAGGTCAATGTAAAATATTGATGTAAAAGGTCTAGGTAATCCATGAAAAAGGTCAAGGTTATCTAAATAAAAAGTCAAGGAGATCATTATAAAAGTCAAGGAGATCATTATAAAAGGTCAAGGTAATCAATGTAAAAGCTCAAGGTTAAATCAATGTTAAAGGTCAAGGGAAACAATGTAAAGGGTCAAGGTAATAATTGTTCAAGGGCAAGACATAAAATGTAAGAGGTCTAAGAAGTAATCTATCTTGGTTTGCAAAAGGTTAACAAGATCATTGTAAAACTGTTCAAGGAAATGTAACCGGTCAAGATAAACACTTAAAAAGGTCAAGGTAATATATCATGAATATATGTAAGGTCGAAATAGTCATTGTTAAAGGTCAAGGTAATCTATGTGAAAGTTAAAGGTATTTTTCAATGTAAAAGGTCAAGTTTGTCATTGTATAAGGTCAAGATAATTTATGTATAAAGTCAAGGTAACAGTCACGAGTCATTTGTAAAGGTCAAGGTAATCTAGGTAAAAGTTCAAGGAATTTTTCAATGTAAAAGGTCAAGTAAGTCATTGTAAAAGGTCAAGATAATTTATGTATAAAGCCAAGGTAACAGTCACCAGTCATTTGTAAAGGTCAAGGTAATCTAGGTAAAAGTTCAAGGTATTTTTCAATGTAAAAGGTCAAGGTTGTCATTGTAAAAGGTCCATTTATTAATCATTATTTGTAAGGAAAGATTTGTAAAAGGTCAAAAGGAACATGGAACAAGGACAAGATCATTTTCATAGTCTGTCAAGGTCAAAATCATCAAAAACTCTTACTACGTACTATACATTTCACTGTAAATTGTCAATTATAATTAATTATATACTTATGCAAAACATCAAGGTAACAATCATATTAAGAAAAGTCAAGGTCATTGTACAGGTTCAAGATTTGCATAAATATCATACTTGATATTGTGCCTGACTTAAACCTAGAACTATTCATAGAACTGGGTTTAAATTATAATAACTGGTATTTGCTTGATTTATAATACTTGATTACTCGTTTTCATTTGATTTGATATGTAAATAGTCTAATCATCAATTTAAATATTGTTTTGAATAAAACATAAAAAAAATCTTGACAATACAATTAATTATTATATCCTGTCTTTTGGTCAAAAACTTATTTGATAATTCAAATTATATTTGGTGACATCTCATTAAAACATGCTAACGAGCTCCTTTAAATAAACAATTATGTGCTGTCACCCTAAGTACTATATCAAATCCTGGTAAATTCATTCTAAAACCTACCTTTTCTTGATTTTTCCAAATAACTTAAAAATCCAAAATCTTGTTAGAATATGTTCCTGTAAAAAAAATCCTACGCAAAAATTTTAACAGCCACAAAATAATTTCCACTGCCTTTTAGAGTGTGTCAGTTTCAGGTCTATTTTCCCATTAAAAATATGTAATTTCCACTTAAGTAATGTTTCACATGAAATACTAATGTGTATTCACAAGTTGTTCTGGGACATGACTACTACTGGAATCTCTTCCAATCACAGCCTCCATGTTGGTTCTGTCGATCAATAATGGATCAATGCTACATTATCCTATATACAGGCAGCAAAATTCTTAAAAGTCTACCAAGCATCTCAGAGACTAGGAGCACATTGTCTGAGTCACATAGAAGATTGGTAAATTTAATTGAGATGCCACCTAGAGATATGAGTTGTTAGGGTCTTTAAAACACAATTGGTTTCTGCTTTTTTCTCTGTTGTTATGAGGAAAAGAAATCTATTATAGAAGAAAATTGGTAAAATAAATCCATCGCTTCTGGTGTTTATGGGACGACAGATAAAATAATATGGTGTAAAAGGTGCTTAAAACAGATTACTTCTAGATCATCACCAAACATTCCTGAATTATAAACCAAATATGTCCAAAAGAATTGAATATATAGATAATAGGATGGAAAATCCGATTTAATCAAAATATTAATATATATATATAAATATATATATATACATATAATGTAATATATAGAGATAGACTTTGAGCAACATTTAGTTACATGTACTTTTATTTATACCAATATAATTGGATAGAATTTTTAAGTAATATTCTTTGATAATGCAGTCTGTTCTACATGGTTAAATCAAAGCATAATGATCGAATCTACAAAGTGTCCAAGATTAACAACAAGTTGTATGGAATCAACCTAGTACATTATCTCAAATTCTCAGAGAATATGTTATTAACTAGCATAATAATAACTGTTAACAATAAGAAAGTGACGTTAAGATATTATTTGTGGCTATTTGTCTTCACAGAGTTGTAACAATGTCATATTTTGCCAAGATGACTCACAAGTCTTAAACAGCTCATAGTTATTCTGTAGTTACTTTTTTCTCAATAAGAATTTTGTAACTTGAGAAAATTTGCCTGGAGGAAATATCAAACCTTCAACCATAAAATGAGCATTATTATGTTTTTTTACTTTAATAATTATATTTTTACATTAAATTTCTGTACATGTGATGGATTAATAAAATGAGGGGTTTCATTACCAGAAGACTATTGTTTTAGTTTAAGTTTACTAGAAATAAATATTTCACTTTTGTCTCCTTGTAAATCTACAAAGATAATACTGCTTATTTTAGTGAGCATTGGTACCAATTTGTTTAATGATGTTGACAATTAATTGTGTTAATTTATATAAACAGCCTTATTAAGTTCTCCATAAATGAATACAATATATATTTTTAAATAATATGTTTTTTTTATGTTTATGGGGTGTCTGTGGCTGAGGGGTTTTAAGGTCTTTGACTTCAAACCACTTGCCCTTCAACACTGTGGGTTCGAATCCCGACTTTGGATTCTTTCATGCGAGGAAGATATTCAGCCAGCTTACGGAACATCGGTGGTTCTACTCAGGTGCCTGTTCGTGCCTGAAATAATGCACGGAAGGGCACCTGAGGTCTTCCTCCATCAGTAAAAACTGGAAACCTTTACTGTGTCGGTGTGACGTAAAACCCAATCAAACAAACAAAAATAATAAAGTTACAATCAACATGCAAGGGTCATTATAAAATGACATTATATCAACAAATCATAATATTTATTTAAACTAACTCTTTATTCTATTGTTGAAAGTTTTTCAAAAGGTTAATAGAAAACACCATAAGTTCAATCAACAACAACAACAACAATCAATTCAACCTCATGCAACCTATTTCAAGATTTATTGGCCGGCACTTTCTGTTCTAAGGAACCAATTTACTGCCTGTAATTACAGACTCAAGCATGCAATATATACATTTATCAACTGGCTAATAATTACTGTTATTGTACAAGAAGATCTTGAAGTCCATATATGGTCAAAAACTGAATCAGAATCATTAATGTTATTCATACATTAGTACCCTCATGGTTTTAGTTTTCTGTTAGTTGTTCTTTTATGTGTGTTTGTTTTTTTAATGTTATTTTGAAAATTTATAGTATTTCAAAGAAATTTTACTCATTTTCAATTTGGTCTACAGAATAATTTTTAAGTTCTATATGATCCAAATAATAAGTCTTCTATTGTAACTACAATCACAGATCACGTATTTCAATCTCAGTATCATGACCATTCATTATTTTATTTTTAGGGAATATTTCAAATTTATGTACTGATTGTCAATAGCAACTGGTGCAGACTATGATCATGCTGCACACACATGCCACCTGACCTTGGTCTGCACTGGTCACATGGGTAGTTTCTGTAGTCGCCATCAACTAAAATATTTTATTTACAATATCATAGTGAAACATTTTTTATAACAAACCATTATAAACTGAGACCGAGAGAGAGACAGAGCTATATTTTATCATGGAACATTTTTCTCCCTTAAGCAGCATAGTTGTAAGATTATTTTCTTTATGGCAATATTGTAATCTGAATAACAAAGATCAATAGCAAAACAGGAAACAATGTTCCATCATTACCACTGTACCAAATAAAATGAAGATACAACAGATGAAATGAATAAATGTTTTCACAAATATTACAAAAAATAAAACATGTTGATAATTTCTTTTATAACATATTTTATAAAAGTTAAAACAACACAAAAAGGACAAGTTCATTATAAAGTTTGCTTAAATGGTAAGTATTAATAATGATGAGTATTTGAATAAGTCAATTTAAAATTATTTGAATGACCATCATTCTGAACTTTTAATGTGCTAGGAACTGAATATGATTACAGGGTAGCTTACATGTATATAATAAGTGCCTGGTCAGCCTTCCAAATCTTTCCTGTGTCTGACCAGGCTCTATTCTCTTGGTTGCTAAATTTTCATATTATGATATTAAAATTCCTTAAACATGGAATAGACTTATATAATTCAAAGTTCAAAGCAGGGTTAATCCATTAATAAATACAGCAAGAGTTAAGAAACACTAATCTTAAATCAATAGCCAGCAGTGATAAAAGATTCAACAGCCTAATTAAAATAGATGGAATTTCTATTTAAATCACCCACAGCTTCTACTTAGTTGGAAGGCCAATCTTCGGAACCTGACACTTTCTTAATTGGTAATTGACGTATTAACTATTCCTAATTGGGAACTCTTTAATTATAAAATGTATCAGATGACTACTGGTCACATGGCGAGGTGCTTTAATGACCACATTGAGGCGGAACTTGTGACGTTTATGACCAAAACTGTATTGTGAATGAAACGTGTGTATTGTGATGAAACGTGTGCAGTGATGAATGCAGAAAGGTTGCACGTGGATAACTGACATTTAAACACTTGTTTTGACTGGTCAAAGCAATAAAACAACTCGTCTAAATGGACACATCTTATAAAGCCAAGATGAGGCAAGTGTCAGTGGGTATCATTGTTAAACAAAATGTCAAAGGGATCACACTCACCAAATTTTATTCTACATTATGTCAAAAGGATTTTAACATCTTGGGAGTGTAATTTAATAAAAAACAGTCACATTTTAGTAAACAACAATTAATTAATGTTTAACTTTGACTTTTCCGTAATTTAAAACTGTTTTCGTAAAAGATAGACTGTAACAAAAATATTATTATGATAATTTGAGCCTCAAGTACATTTTCAACAGAATTCTATTTCAAGAAATATTTCCTAACAAAGGTTTTGTTAATCAAAACAAAAATAATTTCCCATTCCATGTAATATGAAGCCAAAGTCTGTCAAAAAACCAAAACTGATTAAAACAGAAAAAAAGACTGCAGAATAAAGCTGAGATGTTGACAATTTATAAATAACAAATCTGCAGTAATTTCATTCTGTTCATCAGAATTGGAGACACAATTAAGTGCTTTTCTTGATCATACATTTTTACCTAGTTTTCCACAGACTTACAAAAATTAATATTCTTGTATAACATTTGTGTGCTGTATGGTGTTTCTTTTTCTCAGATACTTTTTCTTTCACCATATGGTATAACACGATCATGAAAAATGTCTTCTGCCAATAAGTTAATACAATTATTGTATGAATTATAAATCAAGTTGTATCACCAAGTAATCAAGCGTCCCATTCAGGGAATATGTCTTTGTTTCTTGGACCAGGCAATTTTAACAGCCCTCATTTGAATAATAATCTGATGTGGTCAATATTAAATATGACAACTAATATTTTACAGCCAATCATATCCCAGTATTTTAATGATTAAGGGGATGTTCAGGGGCAATCGTTAGTTCATCGAAGGGTGCCATCTCTCATATTACAAGTCCATCATTGTGACCATCAGGAAAGTCCTCTAAAGATAATAGGTCAAGATCAATTATTCACTATAGTCAACATCAAGGTGAGTGGGGACACATGAGTAATAGTACTAGTAGTATTGTAAAATGGAAATTAGATCAATTAAAGGAAATAAAAACTTTGTGATGTCAATAAATTCAGAGAAACGATAACAGAATAACTTTTACTCAAAATCAATGACCTGATACAGTGACTATTGTATTTACTCTAGATAGTCATCACGGTTCATCAACAGTTACTATTAGTATTAAAAATAATTGTAGACTATTGATTAATTAACTTAAGTATTTATACTTTGTCACCTTTATACATGACAATTTCTAAACCCATTAAAGGAATCGTAGTAAAAGTAAAATCAATAACACTCAAGACTCCAACATTACAGTACAATATCAGTGCTCTACAATTTAATAATTAACCTGCATTCAAATGCTTGCAATGATAATTATATAGACTTTACTAAATGCCCTTGCCAGTACAAGATTCAGGCCAACTTGAACCTTTTGTGCAGTCCGACAGTACTTAATATAAAGTTGGCTTTTCTATACAGTTGGCTGTTAAAGACTATTTAAAATCTTCTGAATGAAACTTCTTAAAGAACTGATACATCCTACCAAATTCAAAGCATAAAAGTCTATTATTACACAATCATATTAAACAGGGTTTAGTGTAATTTACATTAAAAAAAAAATGATTAACACACATTTCAGCTAATTTTTCAGTTCAACTCTTCCCAACCCATCTTCTTGACAACT